ACAGCAAGAAAGCCTTAGCGGAAAACCTCTATTGAAAACACAAACAAAAGCAGCAGCAAAAAGCAAACAAATTATAAACTGACATAAAATTGAACTATAGAAGAGAGATGAGAAAAAATGACAGCAGAACTTAAAACTGTTTCCTTCTGATTCCTAATGCCTTGCCACTTTTATTTCAACTAGACAAAATCCCCATGACCTGCTAAGCAACAGAGTTGGCTTTATTTGTAGAATATCAGCTACTTTGATAACAGGATTAGTTCTAAGATATGAAAAAAAAATTCAGGTCAAGACACACAGAGCTGATCAAGCACTGCCCTGTAATTTAGTGCTGCATTCCCTGGGGAATGTGCTGTAGATAAAGATGGCCTTGGACAGCCGTACGTGATGCTGCAGGCTGCATTTCAGCCACACAAACTGCAGACACAATAAGATTGATACTATCAGGTCTTGATTGTTTCATGAAGTAAAAACTGCTCATATATAACACAGAATCTCAACTTCTTCTGACTTTGAATTTGGGATACATTTGAAGGAAACTACTCTGTGCAGCCCAGCCACAAAGAAGCCTTCTGACACATCCCAGTACCTAAAAACCACTACCCTCCCTGGATGGGTCTATAGCAAATATTCTTAACAACTTTACTACTTTATTCAGAATCATCCTGGCTATATTTCGCTCTAAGTTTTTGCAGCCATTTCTCTAAATCAAACAAATTACACTATTTACCTTAGACAGCAGGATTTTTAAAGGTCATAGGCTTACAGTCACAGGTAAATTGGTGTACTCCAGGCACAATACTTTCTCCCTAACCCCACAAACCCTCAGAGTAAAAATTTCTCTCTGCTATCAACAGTCATTTTCACCTTCAAATTTCCTGAAGTAATCTCATTTCAGCCATTCACACATCACCAATGGCAGACATTACTTTAATTGTGTGGAAGTTAAATATCACTAGTTTAACAAAATTATCATCCTTATCTTACCTGTCTGCACAGCTGTTACATTTCACCATACTCAGAACAGCTCCCATGAGAAAGAACATTAGAATGGGATCCAGCAGAATATACTGGGACAATGTAATACAGCCTGTATCTGCAAAGAGACACACAGCAATGTCAGAAACACTTGCAGCTCCAAAGTGAATCTAAGATTGTGGGAATTCAGCTTCCTCTGTGTAGTCAAGACAAGAAGGTGGTGGGAAATTTTAGAAATAGAAGGAGATCACATTTCATCTTCTACCTGGATAACAAATGAAAAAAAAATGAACAAAAAAACCCTAAAAACAAATACAAGAACAAAGTCAGTACAGCAGTATCTGTGAAACACCATTTGGAAAGTGCTGGTTACATATTCAGATGGAGAGGATTACAGCCAGCAATGATCTACCTCAGGCAACACCACAGTGCCAGAGGATGCCAGAGAAGTCATCTTTCAGATGGTACCTATAGAAAATGAATTTGGATTTGATATTTTAAGTCTCCATTTCTCAATACCCGTGTCCTTACAAAACTCCTATTTTGGTAACTTCATTTTCAAGGTCAATTTCTCCACTTGGCTCAATGCAACAAGGAACTTCATTAATTTCTTATTGTGAACTCTTCTAAAGTAATGTAGGGGTCATTAAAGACCTCTATAATTCATACAGAAAATATCAACATTTCACTAGTGGGCAAAATCATTCCTGACCGCCCACCTTATAATTTTTTTTAAAAATTAAGGTGCAATCTAACCCAATACTGTGGTTATGTAAAGAACTGAAGTACCTATGAACTAAACAAGACTGCAAAGTTCTTAAGGGGACCACCAAGTAAGAAGGCTCATACATACATACACTAAAAAAAAGTGGAATGACTTTGTTTTTGAGAAAGTCTCTCATTAACCCAAATATCCCCTGGTTAGGTTATACATGGTAATCCAGAAATTAAATTATCTGAACAATTAAGATACTCAATTTTGCTGTAGCAGGAACACCTACCAAAAATAAGGATGAAAGCCGTGAGTAAGGCTGCTGGCAGTGACTTTGACAGTTCCAAAACTGTGAGGTAGGCAAAAGGAACCAGGCAGGAGCCAAGAAATGCACAAAACTGCAGGAAAAGATCATAGCAGAAATTATAACCCCACCCACAGTGGACAAGAGCTCACACCCTTTCCTTTCCTCCCTCTTCCATACCTACAACAACAGCAGGTGTTGCAGCAGCTGAACTGAGTCACAAAGAACATTGGACAAAAGCCAGATGAACAAAGACACCGCTCAGAGGACAGAGGCTTACTCTGCTCTGCAGGGGTGTCAGTAACAACAGCCAGTCACACTCTTGCTAGACTGAACCAGAAATTCATAAAAGGATGCATTAAGTAGGTGCACCACACATCCACTACACTCAGCCTTTTTTTACCAAGATACTAGATTATGAAAGCTAAGAACAAAATACACTTGCTCTTTATATCTTTAGCAGACCAGATTCCCCTCTCCTACACAAATGAGACCAAGGATAGTTGGAGGAGAAAGAACAGAAATCAAAACAAAAGAAAGCAAGACCACAGTAGAATTTATTATCTTTAATGTCTGTTTCTAGCACCTCTCCCACCTTTGGCTCAGGGAAACCTAAAACAATGAACTTCTGGAAACTAAACTAAGAAAACATGCCTTCCCAGTTTTCAGTTTTCTTTCTAGGTAGAAGCAGTTGGCCACTGTTTCTCATTTTCACTCATCTTCTGTCAGTTATATGGCTCTTCATCTGCCTAAATAGCAGTAGAGCCAGGGTTTCAGATCAAATACAACTCTGAATTTTGCCCAGCTGTCCCAGGCTCCATCAGCATACTCAGCTTAGTGTCACTGGGGGTGGTAAACTGCAGGTGACAATGGATGATCCTGGCTTTTTGACACCCTTGATTCCCCAGGAGATTAGCCAGGCACAATGCAGTGAGAGAAGCTCAAACCCAGCAATGTTTGCTTTGCAGACAAGGCAAGGCATCTCTCCCATGCAGCAGTATAGTCTCACTAATTAGCAGGAAGAGCTGCCCTCAGTTTTCACCTTGATTTCTTACCAGGCCTCTCACAGACAAACATTAAGACTTATTCACAATAGAACCACTAACACTTTTCAAAGGAGCTTAAAGACAAGGCACAAGGGTAAACAGATCTCTGACCTGAACAAGGAGAGCTGTTCTTAAGAGGGAACATTGTACTGAAAGCCACAGGAAAGCTAACCAGTTGACAATAGCCTGCAAAGCCTTACCCCTCTCATCCCTACATAGTTGTGCTGCTCATATCGATCCCCTGGTTTTTGGAACGGAAATGTACCATCATATCCACTAAGGTAGCCAGCAAGTCCAATCAGCATCTGAAGAGAAAATGTGAAAAAACTGGTCAGGAAAATCACAATGGAGGAAAAAGTACCCAGGCTAGCAGCAGTAAGGTTTCTGTAGAAGCCACACTGATCCAGAGGACAATTCAGACACATCATCCAAAAAAGAGTTTATTTACAGAAATCATATATGTACATACTGCCCTATGTCGAAAGGCAAAATCAGAATTATTTCTGCAACAGACTATAAGGCTGACTGCAAGCTCAAGAAAAATAGGAAGTGTGGAATTGAGCAGGGAGAATTCTGTAGTCTCCCATAGCTCCCTATCCTTTTAGTTTCAGGAGATTCAGTCTGAAAAGAAGATAACTTTGACAAGGCAGGAAGATGCACCTTCATCCACACTACACACTGTTGCTAAAATAAGTTCATTTACAGAACAGGAAATCAATGCTCTCAGGGTCATTTGTGGCAGGCATCTCATCTGCTCACAAGTTATCAGGAACTGTTTCTTCCTTTAAAATGTAGGCTTCTATTATATATGCCCTCCAAGTGTCATATTGATTTTTTCATGTCAAGCCTTTCAAAAACCCAACATGCAATACTGTTTTGTTTTCTTATATTTGAAGCATGTTTTGTGAAGACAAAAGTTGCAAGTTGAGGCTCTGGACACAGAATGCAAATTGCTGTGGTGTCAATAACAGTTAGGAAGGACTTTGTTGTTCACCACATCCTTTGACCAGGAGGCAGAGGCAGACTTTTATGGGCCCACTCTGTGGCTTCTGCAATATGTAACAGAAAAGCAGTTTACCTTCCCCAAAGGGGGATGGACATCAAAGAAGAAGGTCCGATTAATGTAGTAACTTCCCATCTTCCCAAAATGCGTTTCATCCCAACTGGAAAAAACACACCAACAAAACACAAACCACAATAACCAATCTACTACAATGCTGAAGAGAGTTTACAAAAAAAAAAAATCCAGGAAGGCCTTTTTACTTATGCTTTTTATAGCATAGTGGGTTACGGCCATACATTCCATACGAGACAATGCGTTATACTCAGTGGGAAATCATCGAGAGCACTGCAGCCACTGTAGGAAATGTGCTTTTTAAAAAAAGTTTTATATTATCACTGCAAAAGCTCTGGCTTGCCTTTTGATTCCAGATTGACCTTAGCGAGGTTAAAAAGTCGGCTTGTTGCACAAAAATCTCCAAAACGCCCTCCCCGGGCCCCGCTGCCCTCCCTGCAGCACGTCCCGAGAACAGCCGGGCGGGCCGGAGAGCGCAGCGCTTCCCTGCGGCCCTCAGCCATGTCCCGTCCCTCCAGCTGCCTGGGACACACAGGGATTCCCCCACGCCGGGCAAGGCCGGGCGGGGAAGAGGCGCGGGCCGGGAGGAGGCGGACACACACCCCCCGCACCCCGGGCAGCGCCCGGCCGGAGAGCCGCACGCCCCGCCCCGGCCCGTACCATACGTGCGGCGGCTCCCGCAGGCGGTGGAAGCGGGAGGCGAAGCTGAGGAGGGTGACGAGGGCCAGGGCGGCCGGGCGGCCGGCGGCGGGGCGCGGCGGCGCCCCCGGCCCGCGGCGGGGCTCCCGCTGGCGCGGCGGCATCCGCGGGCACCCGCCGCGCGCGGCACCGCGCCGGGAGCGGCGCATCCTGGGCGGGAGAGCGGGCGGGGCGCGGGGCACGCCGGGGGATGCAGTCCCGGCCCGCCGTGCCGGCAGCCGAGCGGGGCCGGGCCGGCGATGAGCGCCGCCGCCGCCGCCAAGGTACGCGGCGCTGGCTCCGCGCTCTCCCCGCGGGGCGGGAGGGACGGGGGACGATGGCAGCGCCACAGCCGGTGGGAGCGGGGCTTGGGGCGGCGGCTCTCCGCCTTCGGCCTGCGCGGGCCTCGCTCAGTTCGGCCTTGTCGCCGGCTGTGGCTTCTGGTACCCCGGGAAGGCCGGGACGGCGGAGCCCGGGAGGAGCGCGTCCCCGCTGCCCCGCCCTGCACCCGTGTCTCTGTCACAGAAAGCACGGAATTTAACCCCGTGCTAAATAAAATGCTTTAGTGTGCTAATGCTTTTAGCGGGGGTGCTTGCCATATTTTATTTGCGCTGTTCACAGCAAGTCCTGCTGAAGAGATACTGAGAGTTTAGGAGCAAATCTGTTCTTTCTGCTTTACATTTGAACCCAGCAGAGTACAAGCTGTGCCTTTCAGGCACAGAGGTTTCCTAAGGAGCAGTGTGTGTGCAGGCTGCTGGGCTTGATGGGTCTCAGGAAAGAGGAGAGATTCGGCCTTCCCAAGTGCATCCCTTATATCACTTGGAAAGAGGTGGTATCCAGGGTAGACCGTACTACTTTGAAGAAGATGGAAACCCTAAGAGGTCAACATACAAGGTTTGGGGTTTTTCTTCCATCTTTCACAACAGAGAAGTGCGTTTGCCAAATTTTTGCTCTGGACTGGTATTTAAGCCCAAACTTTCCTTGCTGATTGCTAGAAATGAAAACAGAACCAGACCAGAACTCTCAGTAGACATCAAGCAAATCCTGTCCTCCTGCTATCATCCCAGCTCCAACCAATCTAAACTGCAGGTTTTGGTGATTTTATCCCATAGGGTTGTAAATGCAGGATATTCTTTCCTGAAACTTCCCTCAACCATGCTCAGCATTCTCTCTGAGGAAGACACAGTGTCACTCTGGGATATGCGACAAAACATTTCTGCTGTCTCTACTCTCTACTTAGCTGATTATTTTTGCCTGTAATCTGCCCTGCTTCTAGGAGCAAAACAGCATGAACTCAAGAGATCACTCCATGCCCCAGCGTCTGGAGACAGTTCCCAACTGAACAATGGGTTGGTTTCCATGTTCTTTTTGGTGAAATCCCCCAGAACCTTGAAATTACAGAGCAAGGCAATTAGCATGGCACAGTTTATTCCAAATGATAGCACAGGCTGTAAAACCAAAAAAGAACTGCAGAGAGGATCAGGAGAAATGTCTCTGCTGGCTGAGAGGGCAGAGTCCAAAATGGATGTAGTGAATGACATGAATTTCTGAGCTAAAAAATCCTTAGCAAGATCCTCAGGAAAAGCAAGTAAAATTAGTATCTCATGACTGCTCTGTTTTCTCTTTTGAAGCCATAGTTTCTGTTTCTTCCCTGAAACTCAGCAGGCTAGACATTTGAAAAACTAACGTAGCTGATTTTTCTAATGCCCGCATCCCAGAAGAATTTAAGAAAATCAGCAAATACTTTGTCCACTAAAGTGTTACCAGTACTTTACATCTCTTTCCTCCTCACTTATAAATCTGACTGAATTAGTCAAAGACATACCTCATTTGGAGTTATTTGAGCCAATCTAAATTGTAAGAAGCATGACGTTTACAAAGAGGACTGGAGCACAGAGATCATCAGTGTCTCTGGTTTTCTGTTGACAGACTATAATTGAGCATATCCCTGCTTTCTTTTGTCTTGCTGCCAAGTCTCTGGAAAAATTTTTATGCATTTTGGGAGGGTAGAGACTCAGAGAGATCCATGGCATGCTGTGGGATCTGTGTAAGCAAGGAGGGACATGATTACAGGTTTCTTTAGAGACATAGATGGGTACCAATTTCCTGTGTGGAAAGAAAAGATTGACACAAAAAAAAAAAAAAAGCTTAATCTTTTATTTTGCACTAAGTTGGTCTGATAGCAGAGTAGCAGCTTCTCCCATATCTGCAATGTAGGAAATTCCCTGTACTGGTCAATACTGGTGGGAGGGGAGCTACAGGAGCACACTATGGAATCTCCCTGCAAAGGGAGCCCATTCCCAGAGCTAGCAGTCTTTCCCTAGTGAAACAGAAATTCTGCAAGCAGCTTTGGTTTTCTTTTTTTTTTTTTTTTTTTTTTTTTTTTGTTCTCCAGGGTTAGATTTCTGCATTGGCAACTGGGGACAGCCTGGGAGGTTCTCCAGACACCTTATTTGTTTCTGGATGAAAAGCTATGGAAATAAGAATGATTCAAGAATGATTCCCAAATGTGCTTCCAAGCTTAAATCTGTTTAATGGTTTTGAGATCAGGGCTGGGAGAGGGTGACTGCAGTGACTCAGGATTGAATCTGACTGGCTGGTTTTTGTGTCCTGGGCACAGGCTGGGGGGCAAAGTCCTTTCCTCATTGGTTATAGGAGAGAAGCTTTTCCCCATTACAGCTGAGTTAAAACAGAAAACACAGAGGTTGTTTTTATTTTGTGGAGACAACTGCATGCACCATGGCATCTGAAAAGGTGAGAATTTGGACAGGCTGGAAGCATCTGGGAAGGCTGCCTTAGTGTTATCGTTCAGGTAGAGATGAATTCTCTCTCTTCATGGCTTTCATCTCAAACAGCAGAAGCTCTTCTTTTTTGGAAAGGAATTGGCTTTTCCCCTGCATGGCTGGAAAAGTTGTTTCATACCATGCAAATACCCAGGTGCTTGGCACAATCAGTACAGAAATTGTTTCAGAAATCTAAGATGGGATAGAAGTAAGCAATATTGGATAGGTACAAAGAGGGAAGCTTTATAGTGTCAAGGTCATTTGTGCATTGTTGGAAACATCAGGTGCAACTGGATAATGAGAAGGCTATTATGAGAGACAGTGATGCTACCTGTATGCCGAAATCAGGAACAGTTACTTTCAGAAAGGAGCCCTCTCTCCTCCAAACATTGCTCTCCCCTGTCTTAGAGTTCCTGAAATGCCTTCTGCTCATGCATTCTTTTCCTTACGTTCAATCTCTGGTGCTCCCAGCATATAACCCTTTTGTCTTTCTCTTCTCAGCCAATACTTTACAGCTATTTCCGAAGTTCCTGTTCTTGGAGAGTGCGAATCGGTAAGATTCCATTTTCATCTCTCTTTTTTTGTCTCAGTATTGCAGTATCCTCCCCTCCACTAGCCAAATTAATCCATCACTTATTAACAGAGAGGTCAGCAAACATGAGCCTGGAACAGTCAGGCATCTCCCCATGGGGAGGGAGGGGAAGACTGCAGCTTACCTGGAGCAGGTGGAATAGAGGGGAACAGATAAGAGGGCTTCATGATGCTACCTCAGACTCTGGCTGGCCCAGGTCATGAGAGCTAAGCAGGGCTGGGAATGGTCCTTACTTGTACTGAGACAGAAAGGTTTTAAAGGTAAGCACATGCTTCCCCTGACCTCTAAAAGCTGAATCAGGAAGGGCTGTGCTGCAAAGAATTGCAAAGCTTATTTTGAAAAATGCAGGTTTTGCCAGGACTGATCTTTAGTACTTTGGTCCTTCATTTGCCAGAGCACAGTCTTCTCAGTGGACTCAGGCCACCCTCCTTGAGGGATAGAGTCTTTTTTCAAATATAGGTGCTAACATTTTCCTGAACGCATGAGCAATGAAACTGGTCCCAGTGTAGCTGTCTGAAGCTGTACACTCTGCTCTCCCTAGCACTGGCTCTGAAAGGAATTTCCTATGACCTGGTCCCAGTGAACCTCATTAAGGATGGAGGACAGCAGGTAAGGATAAAAATACCACTGCTCTCTCCAGGGTACTGAACTTGGGGATCATTAGGAGATTAGCACTGGAAAGTTCACAGGCAAAATTACTGAATTCCTCACCACTTCTTTGGAATTAATAGCTGCTTTCAGCCACTGTTCCCTGGCATGTGAGACAGGAGAAGAATATGACTGCAGGAGAATAGAGGCTTTTTCCTCTCTCAGACATTTGTGACTGAATCCATAAGGCTGAAGATCTTTTGCTTACCATGATGCAACTGAATATATCTGGAGCACAGAGAAGCTGCCCCACACTTTAAACAGACTCAACTTCATTCAATTAGCAACAGAAAATGCATGGAGGTGGGGATAGGGGGTGTCCAAAAGATGCTAATTTATATTGCAGGGGGCTGCAAAGGGCCTGCAAAAGGAAGAGGTGGGTTGCCAAAAGAGATCTTCACTGAGGCCTTACTTAGGGTCCATAGGAGGGAGTTGTGCACCTCATAGTACCACTGGCTCAATGGGCTGGTATGGGCCAAGGCAGAGTTGGACAGCTGGGACAGTAATGGTGGCACAGATGCAGTACCACTGGGCATTGCAGTGGTGCTTTATCAAGAGATAAGGCAGTCCAGGCCAGGTGCAGTGATCCCTGAGCCACAGTAAGAGCTTGCTGTAGGCTAATAGTACAGCATTATTTACTCCAAAGATTAGTATTAAGGTAGAGAGAAAAAAGAGGAAAGAAAAAGAATTTGGTAACTGGGTTCTGGGAGAAGAAAACAAGGAAGAAGAATTTCTTATTGCTGTAGAGTAATCTCAGGTTTGTTTCCACAGTTTTCTGCTGAATTCAAGGCACTGAATCCAATGCAGCAAGTCCCAGCCTTGAAAATTGATGGCATCACCCTTTCTCAGTCGGTGAGTTATCAGCCACGTCCCTGTTAACCTTTCAATCCAGCCTGCTTCCCAGTCTGGATGGGATGGCTTTGTTCCATCTTTTTCCCCAGAGCTCTCACCTTTACATTGGAAAAGAGGTGGCATTTATGATCCCACTTGGGAACAGAAATAGCACATATTCCCTGATGGGAAACCACTGTCAAGGATTTCAGTTCCGTTCTGCTTTGGTTCATAACTCCACCTTTCACTAAGCAGTTAGTAGTCTGACTTTGATGGCTGTTCCATGGTTTGCCTGAAATTACAGCTGGACCAATTTACAAGGTCACAGGCAGATGTCAGAGGAGTTATTCTGTTCTTTGGGTTGCTAACAAACGGCATTCAAGAGTTGTTGTATTCTCTTGGATCAGCTCCCCTTTCCCACGTGTCCAGGATGTAAAGTCTTCCTTGGGTCTCCAATAACCTCCCATTATCTCTTTGTTCTTTACAGCTAGCTATAATTAATTACCTAGAAGAGGTGCATCCTAACCCCAGGCTCCTGCCCCAAGATCCAAAGAAGAGAGCCCAAGTCAGAATGATTGCTGACCACATTGCCTCTGGCATTCAGCCACTCCAGGTACTGCCTTGTCAGATCCATGCAAATGAGAAGATCAGAAAGGATTTCTGTCCCTGAAATTCTCAGTCTCCTTAAATTGTTGCCAGCCAGCCGGGTGGCAGAACTTCAGACTGGTGTGCTAGCAGATAAAATCTGCTTAACCTCTGCCTGATCTAAATACCAATGGCACCAATACAGTATTTCCAACACAGCAAATCCTATAGCATGCCAGGGCTCTTTCCAGAAAGAGCTGAATCCATATGGTTTTACTGCTGAGTCTAGGACATTTTAGGAAGAAGAGAATTGAGCAGCTGAAAGGGAAGAGGCAAAGGGATACCTTGGCAACTGTTACAGAAGGGTAGTGCCAAGAGAAAGATACAGCAGGGTGCCTGATTCATTGCAGGTGAGGTCAGGGCTGACCCAACCAAGGGAACTCAGGCCAGGAGTTCAGCCTTGGCAACTCCTCATCTCCCCTGTCCTCCACTGGATGACACAGTGGGTAAGATCCAGCTAGCAGTAGTTATCTAACCTAGAGATTGCTTTGCCTTCACAGAACCTGAGTGTCCTGAAACAAATGGGGGAGAAAAAAATTGAATGGGCTCAGAACTGTATCACATCTGGCTTTCAAGGTACATACCACACCTAAAATGATCAGTAATTTGGCTGACCTTACAAAATGCTGCACCACTGGCATTCTATTTGCCTTTTTCAAGTAGAACCACAGATATTCCTGGGCTGGTGTGCTGGGGTTCTGCCTTGCTGGCAGAGACGGTGTTCTTCTTGCCCAGAGTCTCTTGTCCAGGACTGGTAGCTCCCCAGGATCTTAGAGGAAAGATGTGCACAGAACACTTCCACTGTTGCACAAGGAAGAGGGGAAGCCTGGTGCCATCCTGCACACTGCAGCAGCTGATTTATTTTGAAGCACAAGGGCTCACAGCTCTTCTATAGTTCTACACATAGATAGAAGTCTAATAGCAAGCTCCCACAGAGTCTAGCAAGTAGCAGAGTAATTCTTTGCCTTTTTGAGAGAAATAATGGGCTTTTGGTTCCCTCAAAATCCTTTCCCCCATGTGCTGCAATGACAGGCCCATTTTCACTTTCTGACAGACACAAACTGACTGAACCGTTGCATTTTTCCCCTCCCCAATCACATATTTCTACATTATCCTCATAGCATTTCGAGTGCATTGTCTAAAGCAGCTGAAATCACCCTGGGCCCAAAAAAGCTGAAGGAGCCTAAAGACTTTCATAACTATAGTAAGGTTTCTGTTCCTTCTAGTTTCTGTCCCAAAATGCTCCTTTTTCATACTCTGCTTGGGGTTAAAATGCCCTTGTACATAATTCTCAGTCTAGAAAGTGTTTGGTGTCCCTTTCAATTGATTTTCCAATGCCTCATTCCAGTGTACCACCTCTCTTGACAGCACTGGAGCAGATTCTGCAGCACACTGCTGGACGCTACTGTGTGGGGGATGAAGTAAGTATCAGAGAGAGTCCTGTGTGCTATTGCAGAACTGAAAACCAAAGTATATTCTCCTAAAATAGGAAAGAAAATTAGTTGAGGAGATAAGAACACAACCCCATCCAGTGCCTAGAATTACATGCAGTGCCTTCACCATAACAAAAAACAGCTGCATGAATCCTACTTAGGCCATTACTGACTGACAGAGTTATGGAGATGTTTACTTGTCCCTGCCTATAACCTGCTGATAGCCAGATTCTGCAGCTGTATCTAGAATCTGGCTGGTTCTAGAGGATGTGGAAAATGATGATATATCATTTCATCTTTATGGGATTTGGACTTCAACATGTCCTGTCATAGGAGCAAAGCTTGGCTCAAAAAACATGTGTTCAGTTTTTAGCTCTGTTGTATGGAATCTTTAACCAACTTGTATTTTTCTGCTGTGATCATCCAGTTTTAACATGGACAGATTTCACAGAGCTCACATAAAAGCTGTTCTGACCCTTACCAAACTAGAGGCAGTTCAGGCCTTTTCCATTTATTAGTTCTGCTGCCAGGCAAAAGACCTTTCTATAAAAGCCTTAGAAAAAAGGAAGGCTCCTGCATTATTCTGGGATGCAGAGGATTGTCTAGTAGCAGCCTTATGGAGCCCTACTTATAAGGCTCCTTACAAGATCTAATGCTGGAGAATAACATGTGCTCTAAGAGGCACCCAGGGCTCTGTGACCTGGGGAGCAGGGTGAGGGCAGCTGCCCTCTGTCTGTGCAGACAGGCAGCCAGTAGCACTGGCGTTAAATCTTTCCCTCAGATTGCAAGTCTCTGAGCCTGTGTACAGAGGCCCTATCACATAGCAAGTCTTGACATTGGCAGGACCTGCTTGATACTGCTGCAGTGCAAGCAATTAAAATTTACTTAACTTTTTCCAGCCATGCAAACACCCCTCTCCCTCCATCACCTCCCTCTGCAGCTTGCCAGCAGACGTGTTTGCTTAAAGGCAGTTGCCATAGAAGCACAGTGTCCTTAAGGTCATAATGATCAGCTGGTAAATATAAAGCTTCCTAAAAGCTCATGGCTTCTACTAACAACTGCAATGAAGTTCTTTTTCTTGTACTATTGCTGTAGTATTAATGCTGAATTAAATAATTAGATCATCATGACAACTCCTCTGTACTGTCTGATAAAATAATTTCTGTCTTGGTCTCAAAGCCTGCCGCCACTGGGAGGTGTGAGAGGACAGGCTCTGAGTTATTCTAACCCCTTTTCTCTGCTATATTTGCAGGTTTCCATGGCTGATCTGTGTTTAGTTCCTCAAGTTGCCAATGCCGAAAGGTAATTAAGGCTAAGTTTGATATATTCTTCAAGACACCTACTTATGCTGGGCTGTCAGAGCTTACCTTCTGCTCCTTGTGCCTGTTAGACATTATCCCTCCTGCCTGCCCTATCCACTTATGTTTCTTCTCTCCACAAATTTTCCTACTTCATAAATACTGTCTCTTTTGGAAGTAATGAATTGTGGTCTCCTCTTAGAGGCCCCTGGGGAAACCTGATCTATGACTTTAGAAAAGCTGAAGTTGCCCACCCTCCATATTCTCTGTCCCTGTTTGCTTTATTCTTACACTGCACACAGGAGGAAAAGATTGATCAGACTTTATTTAAAGCCTTAAACCCATACAAGTAGTGGCTGCATGATTCCCAGAATAGCAGTGTCTTCTTACCTTGTGCTGCACATTACGTAAAAATCTGGTGAAAATTGTACAAGCACAGAATCATTGCAGTTGGAAGGGAATTCTGGAGGTCACCCAGTCCAATTTCCCTGCTAGAGGAAGTGTCACAGGATTGCATCCAGCTGGGTTTTGAGTATCTCTAGAGAAGGAGACTTGACAACCTCTTCAGGAACTGGTTAATCACTAACACCTGCAAGGATGAACCTTTTCTGTTAGTGTAAATGCCTGTGAGATTCTCTCACACCAGGCAGGCCTATCACACTGCTCTATACTTCTGCTCCCTGCCGCACCGGCTCTCCAACTCACAGTCCTTCACAAATTCTTCTCCGTTTACAGATTCAAAGTGGACATGGGTCCATATCCCACAATAACCAGAATAAATAAAGTTCTCTTGGAGTTAGAGGCCTTCAAAATAAGCCACCCTTCCCGGCAGCCAGATACTCCTGCAGAGCTGCGAGCTTGAAGCCTTTCTACTCATTAAATCTAGAAAGCTGCCATGATAAAGAAGACAACACCTACAGTTTGAGTAGGACTTCAATGCCAGTAGGAAACCCCAGTACCGTTGTCTCCCTTTCATCTGTGTGGGAAGGACAGAGGACCTGGAAGTAGTGTGGATGACTTACAGGATGCCTGTGCTGGAATACCTGCAGCTACTAGTTTTGTCTATGCAGTCTATCTCCATGAAGCAGATTAAAGCAGAAGTATCCATAATGATCAGAAGTTTCCTCTGTATGGCTTTGGGCTGGGAAATGTGGCCACAAACAACTGTGAGGCATTGAGCCAATTCTGTATTCCCCATAGTAGCTACTTCTTTCTACCATCTACAGAAAGAGCATCAGGGAATCAGTGTACACAGTGTGCTTATCCTTGGAGCTGCCTCAGAGCCACAGCACAGTCATCAGTTCCACAGATATAAGCAATCAGATCTATTCTCTGATGGAAGACAGCTTAACCATTGTTGGGGTCTTGAAAGAGCTAAGTTGATAACTCTGTCACCCCTTGCAATAACAAGAGCAGTCACATGGCATTTATGAAAGGTGTGCCTAGAGCAAAGCTAGGTGTTTGTGCCGTAGACAGCATGGCACAACCATCTCTCTCCACTACAATGAAAATTATGTTCTCTTCTTTTTCCCACCCTCAGATACTCCTCTAGGTGTTTTCCTAGCCTTCAGCTGCAGATGGTTGCCCAAGGAAATCCCACCCCAGATTCCCTCCAAACCAGAATAATGCCTGTACTTTTACTGTAAAATAGCAGCAGTAAATACCATTCCACTCATCCCAAATGAAACCAAACACCTAAGTCACCTACAAAGCTGAAAGCAGCCTGGGAATTCCAGCTAAAAATGTGTAGGGCAAGAAAGAAACCCATAACCGTGTGTCATGTTCTTGTGCAGAGTCAGCTCAGATCCCACGGAATGTTTTGGCACCTGAGCCTAGATATTGTATATCAGGTATCCTAGGAAAACAATACCCATGGCTTTCAGACTTTACAAACCCACAATCTCTTGTACCAAGGTGCCATTCACCTACATACAGATACCTGGACTGCCATGTTGCTTGGATTCATTTATTGCCATCCATATCTGTATTTAGGCTGGTGAAGAGCCTTGCTGTTTAGGCTCATTCTGAGAATCGTGCATTATCCTAGGTCCAGCTGGATCTTGAGTGTGCTGTTATAAAATGTCCCAGCACAGTTGGAGCCCCCAAAGACCAACACCGTGTGCAGCTTCTGCTCCTCTTTGTTCTCCTTGTCCATATCCATCAAGTGGGCAGGAGTCAGGTCAAGCAATGTGTGGCCAGCTCGGGGAACAGAGCAGAGGTCGTGGTGGATCACTGTGCTCCATGAAAGAGTATCTGAAGTGGAAAGGAGATATCAATACTGACAAGCCCATTCCTAGTGCAAGGGATGAGACAAATGGACTAGACTAAGTGTTCAGAAACACCTCTGCAGCCCCAGAGTCATCTTCAGCTATCAAAACAGGGCAGGAGAGTCACTCACCTAGGTGGAAGACAAAGGCATCATGCAGGGCTCCTCTGGCATTGCAGCCTCCACTGATCAGAACCTTCTGGTCTGACACAGCCAGAGCTGCATGAAAGCTGTGACCAAAGCAAAGTCAAAAGGTGACTACAACAAAACTGGGATGGCCTCAGTCACTAATGGGCAGGGACTGGAAGACTTGATCAGGAGGTTGGGGGCTTAAGGTGCAGGAAGAAAGCTGACTTCTACTTCTCTCTGCCCTGGCTTGCAGAATAACCCTAAGAGAGATGTTTGCCTCTGCAGGTCAGGCCTGAAGCAACTCATTATCTCAGAAGGAGCTATCAAAACTCCTATGCTTTGCTCTGTGGGGTGAAATAGCAGGCTAGCTGGGCTCTGCATTGATTTAGATCATTGTTCTAGTGAGCAATTCTGTCCCTTCAGGAAGAGCATAGTCCTGGTAGAGGAGTTTCTTCCTCTGTGTGGCACAGTACCTCTCCAGGCACTGTGAAGAACAAACAGCAGGCCATACAGTTTGCTAGCACACAGCAGAAAACTTGCCCTAGCCTGAAAGACAGAGGAGTCTTCCAGGGAGACTAAGGAATATTCCCCCACACCATACAGGCACCAACATGGACAGTACAGGAACTCCTGGTGCCACAGCAGAGAGAAGATCCACTGTATTTTGACTAATGGAACAGAGATATGCAGCTGGGTCTGATCACAAGCACTGTTTAAACCTGGCTTCAAAAAGACATGACACAAGAAGATAGCTCCTGGGTCTGCAATAGACTCTTACCAACGTGCAGAAGGCTGTCCTGCCAGGAGGGGGACTGATGTGTACTCCATGAAACCTGAGAGACAGAGAAAAGGCAAGTGAAATGTCCAAAAACCTCAGCCTCATAACTAGCCAAAAATTTAGATACTCTGCCACATCAACAATGCCTCTGGCTTCTCTATTACCCAACTTCTTCCCAAAAAGCCATTGTTTTTTCTTCATCCCCTCCCTTATTGCCCCAGAAAGGGTTTGGTTTTTTTAACCTGTAGTTTTAAATCTCCATTGCCTAGTCAGGAGTTTTTATAATGCTATTTCTATTTTCCCATCGAGCACACCCCACTCCCAAGTCCCTGTCTTGGAACAGATGTTCCCAAGGCAGCCAGATGGCACAGACTTACTTACCCAGATCCAGAATGTGCATGTCACTGAGGTAGACAGAAGTCTTCTGACCCCCAAAAATCAGCAGCTTGTTTTTCAATAGAGTAGCTGAATGCCTGGGCAGAAAGCAAGCAAATAAATAAAACATCTTCAGCAAGTTCCCAAAACGTCTGTTTTAGCCTTGGCCCCTTCTATTGGGCTGCCATAGCTTCAGTCTACACCTGGGACAAAATCCCATCAGGATTCACAATAGGAGGTACTGAGAATTCCACTGCTCTAAACACAGCCCTATCTTAAGGAGTACGTGGCGGAGAACAATCACCTAATATTTAGGAAATCACAGGTGTGGGAGGGAAGGTAAGCAGATGTTTCATGCACTATTTTAGATAGCTGGAATTAGAGCACTCTCACCCAAGCCTAGGAAGAGGCTTCTCCCCTTCTGAAATGGGCTGATACCAAATTTCATCCTCTGGATTGAAGACGTAGAGCACATTGCTGCAGGGTGCAACTGCCAGCGATGCTTTTCTGGGGAAAGTCCCTCCAAAAACAAAGAGCTCCTTGTGGTAGATAGTTGCACTGTGGTAGGTGAGCACTGGTATCCTCCCTTTAGCCTAGAAAAATTTCAATATATATTTGTTACCAGAAGTGCATCATTTGCTGCAGGAAAATAGGAAAGGGGCCCACATCATGCAGTGAGTTTGACAAGTCTCAATTTTCACTTTATTGGCTCCCTACCAGATCTTTGCTGCACAGGCAGACAGTATATTCTTTGCATGCTCTACACCACCAGAATGCTCTGATAAGAAAAATAAATCAGCCTCCCACACCTTCCTCAGAAGATGTCAGGGAACAGAAAGATCTCATCCAGGCTTACTCTGTAAAAAACCATTTTGTGCTTTAGCAGGAAAGAGACAGTCCCATGCTGACAAGGGCTCAGAATGCTGTACTCAGGGCAGTTCCTGATTTGAGAAGACCAGCTCTTCACCTCAGCATCTGGTGCTGCTCTCAATGGCACCATATAAAATGAGAGGCCATTTGCCTTCACTGCTTGTACAGTATCTCCCACCATTGAGCTTGGTCAGCCCTCTGCAGCAACCATTTTTTTCCATTGCTTCATTTGCTGTAGACACAGCAACAGGTTTCTGTTCAGCATGTGGCTTTTCAACACAGCCTTTTAATACGTGTCAAACCCAACTTCTCATCTCAGACAACCTGCACCAACAGTGGACCAAGACTACTAGACTAAGGACATGGGCACATGGACTGCCACATTCAGGCAGAACCTGCCACTCCCCCTGCACTTTTGTCTTGGAAGAGATGCAGTACTCACAGCCACAAGGAGCCATTTCCAGGTGACTGTGTCCAGAATGTAGATGCTGCTGTAGTCTTTGTCCTCCCTTATGCCCCCAAAGATGTAGATACGCTTGGTGTCAGGGTCGTAGGTAGCTGTGTGACCATGCAAGCACGATGGCATGGCATTTTGTAGCTGGAAACCCACTGGAAGCCATAAATCACTGTCTGTGAGAGCAATAGCAGACATATGGTATGGGAGTTCAAAAATGCTCTTGATTGCTCTAGATTTAAAGATCATGCCATAAAATCTTTAGTCAAAACCTTGCTCCCTTTGTCTCCTCCTCTCCTTTGATTCAGGGCTAGAGGGAACACATACAGAATTATTCTGTAAATAATGATGGGGAATAGCAAGGTGAAAGAGAAGACCAGTGAGGTGCAGAAAGACATAAGGCACTGGAATTGTATCTCACACTTCCCCACCAGTCACCACACACAGACTGCAAACTGCACTGTTGCATTTACCCCTTACAATTCCAACTCTTTCCAGAACTTGTATCTTATCTCCTAGAGTGCTCTCAAGTATAATCCCAGAGCCTCATAAGGCACTCTATGCTGTCAGCTCAGCCTGGTGACATGCCAGATGTGATGCCTTCGCTGTTCCCTCCATATGCACAGATGCTCAAGTACCCCCTCCAATCTGCATGAGCTATCCCCAAGGCCCACTGTCCCCACTGCTTTTCACAATCCTAAAGTCCCCACCAATTTCCAGCTTCCAGAGAGCATCCCTGCAGGACTGTTGATTGACACCTTCTCCACCAATGAGAACAGCTGTCCCCAGGTCACTGAGGCACATGGCATGGCACCACCGAGGGCTGGGACTGCCTGGGGAGGGAAGAGCACAGGCCTATGAGCAGTCAGACAAGACACCCTCAGCTCCCTTCCCTGCTGGGGAGAACAAGGCACCTGAATGCTCAGAGGGGGGAAATGGTAAAGCAAGGCTCCCTGCCCTCTGCAGGGGAAAAAGACATACCTCCCTAAGGAATATTTTCAATTGGCTTGGAGGAATAATTGCTGTACTTAGAGAGACCTCAGAAGCAAGGAGTAGCTGGATGCAGGATGCATTCAGGCTGCCACTTCAGACAGGCTTGGAGGTCTCCCATTTACTACCCCATCTCCAAAAGTGGATATCTCAGTTGTGCTACCTGGCCTGCGCTACTCCTCATGAGGGAGGGCTACCCAGGGACAGCTTGTCAGTGCCTAAGAACAATCAGAAGCCTGGAGCTGCTTCCACAGGTATTCCTTGTACTGCTCTGTTCCTCCTCCCTTCCCCTGCCAGGCCCCTGCAGCTGGCTGAGCAAGCTAAAAAAATACTTTTAAATCAAAGTCTATTTCATATCTTACCTTTTTTACTCAAAGACCTATGTACCCAGAGGTGTGCCTGAGATTCAGAGGGGCTAAAGAAACATATTTGAGAGCCTGACAGTACTGGAAGCGCTGATGGCAACTACATGAAGAAAAACAGCATATATACATAGCCTACTTGTTATTCTTGATCACGGCAGAGATACAGAATGAGCATGAGAGGCTTCTGATGTTGAAGGGAAGGAATATCATCACTGAGTGACTGATAAGACAAACCAGTGTCTAGGAACCAAATCCTCACCTTGCAACTCCTTCACCGCCAGATCTGCAAAGGAAACACAGAGATGGTCCCATAAAGCACCACGCAGACATACTGTGGAAAGTGCTCAGCTCCACTGTCTCAGAGCCCTTTGACCTTCCTTTCTCCAACCTCCAACACAAAGCTACCTCACTGCAACAAACAAGGTGCAAGACCAGAATCGTGAACTAAGTCTGATCAGAAGAAATGCAGAAAATAGGTAAGAGCAGGGCACAACTTCCTCTGACTAACAAATACTGTCACCATTGCATTTTACCCCTCTGGTAGAAGTTTGTTTCCCCCTTTCTCACACTGCCTGCAGCAGCAGAAGCTTTATGATGAAGCTATATTTGCCTTTATGACAAGCAAGGCAAGTCCCAATAAGTAATGTCTTATGGGAACCACTAACTTATTGACAAACTTTTACACATAAACTTGGTCACACTCTCAAGCTGACTTGGAATTCGCACTCCAGAAGCCTAAGGTTTTGTTGCCAAAGCCCTTGGCAGTTACCTTCTCACTACTCAAAAGCCAGTAACATACATATATATATATATATATATATATATATATGTATGTATGTTATATGTATATATATATATATATATCCCTTTTTGTATTCCCTATACTGTAATAAGAACCACTGTGTTCTATAGACTAAGTGGTATGCTATTAGTAGGGGTACAAACAGACTAATGCAGAGGTTACAGAACGTCACAAGGTAACTTTCTTGTGCCTCAATTTACTCTTTTGTAAAACAAATTTAACAATATTTGCTTTCATTTATAAAACACTTTTACTTATATGAAAAAATAGGCATTGTGTCACGGTAAAAAGCGGTGGCACTAAGATGATTTATCCAATGTTCTATTTCTGGCCTTTTCCCAGCAGACAAACATTCATCCAGCAGCTGATCCAAGAATAAAGAGCATTTTCAGTATTTCAAAGCCAAACATACAAGCCCATCATACCTTGGAAGTACACAGAGAAATGGAATGGGAAGGTGCAGCCCAGTAGCATTAACAGATCATGCAGACAAGATCTGTAAAATAAAGTTGGAAGCCACCAAAATTACCTTCTTCATCAAGATCTCTCTCAGATGCTGTGGGTTTGAATAAAACTTTTCTGGGCTTTTTGGAGTGGACTCTTGGTGGTCCTTGGTGGTCAGGACTCATCCTCCAGGCCTCATTGGATTCCACCTTTTCAGCTGGTGACTTCAGGGCACAGGGTACCACCATGGTCCTCAGTGGTGGCCGGACATCCTTCTTCACAGGCCTGGATGCTCTGGCAGCCACCTCTGAGCTCTGACTCTTAACCTGTGACACAAGTCCCAGCCAAATCAGCAACAAAGATACCTGAGGCTACTGTGAATTGCATCTTACTGGGCCAGAGATGTGGTAGCTGTTTTTAGGCCCATCTTCCCACTGAGTTTTCAGGGCCAACATGCCATCAGTATCAGCTGCCAAACAGTGCAGCTATCTGCTGCTGTGTGCTGTAGTTGGCTCTCAGACTGCTGGCTGCTGGGCACAGCTAAAACATGGAAGGGCAAGAAGGCTATCTGTACTAGGAATGAAGGGGCTGGTTAACCATCCCACCAAGGACTACTACATTCAACATTTAAAAAGGCATTTCAATGGAGAATATATCTTTATTCAGCACAAGAGAAACTTTGGCTCCAGAACTTGCTTACCATATCTCCACTGAAAAAATAGCAGCAAATGTTTCAGTTAGACATCAACTGAATGGCTACTGGTGAGGGAGAAGATACTAAGAAAAAAGTGAAATAACAAGGTGACTCCAAAATACACATACCCCAGCAGGATCCTCCAGGTCCTGGCCAAGGGGCCTGTCATCTGCTGGGAGCACTGGTGACTGGGTGGTCTCTGGTACAAGGAAGGGATGGACAGGTGTACTGCTGGAGACACCTCGGAGCAGCTGCAGCAGAAACAGCAACAGAATAAAAGGCCCTAAATGTGTTAACCTCCATCCACACAAAGGATGAGCAAAAACATGTCTTGCAAGGGACAGATTCCCTGCAGTGGAATAACCTGCCTTTTATGTCCCACACCAACAAAACAAGCAGGAAAGCCAGGCACTGCAAGATGCTAAATCCAGTGGCTTCAGCTCAAGGTGAAACAACTATGTAAGTACCAAAGACTCAGGAGAGAGTGGGACTGGAAGTGAACAGCTGTCAGCTGCCTGTCTCCTGCAACACACAAGGTGTTATGGCACAACTGTTCAGAGGATAGGCCTGGAGCATCACACAGGTTTCAGGTTCTGCACAGATATGCATTACCAGATCCATGTTTGTCAGCTCTACCTTGGAGTAGCAGAGAAGGAAAAGGAGATCAGGGAGAGGAGGTTCTGGGGCTGAGAAGTGACAACATTTGGGACCTGGGACAGGAAGAGAGGAAAGTGTCAATCCTTTTACCTGTCCATTGACAGTCAGAACAAGCCTCACAGGGTTGCCTTTGTCCATCTCTTTCAACGAGGCCATGAAAATATCTGTTCTCCAGTGATCTTCCCACACCAGAGACCTGCACAAAGGACCATAGCTTTTCAGCCCACAAGTGATACTGACCAGGACAAAATTCCTGCTCCCGTAATAGATGGTAACAGCCCAAAGCCAAAAGAGATCCAACCCTGAAAGCAGCCAAAGGAATCATCACTAGAGGGAAACACCACGGTAGAGGACCAGCAGGCCCGAGTGACTTTTGGGTAACAGCAGCAGAATCAGGCAGCACCAGAGATCAGAAAGCTTTTCTAGGTTGCCCCTCCTAACACCCTGGCAGCTCCTGCTATAACCTGCGGGTGGGCTCCAGCGTGCCGACCCGCTGTGGTGCGACGCCTGGGGACACCAGCACATCCACCGCGATGCTCGTGTCCGGAGAGTAACAGCTCCAGTCTCCCAGCCCGAACACCACCAGCTGCCTTGGCAATGGCAGGGGCAGCCAAGCCTGGAAACCCATCCGGTTGGACTGGCTGCAAAGGGGAGGGAAGAAAAACGAGAGATACTAATCAAGGAGTAAAATAAAAGCTGCAAAAAATATACGAAAACGCCCTAAAACACGTTTATGCCAGGGAAGGGTGAAAGGAGAGGGCTTATGTCGTTTAAAGATGAAACCATGCAAGTATGCAGGGAAAGAGATAACCGGTGGGAAGCCAGAGCCACCAGGGGCTGGAGCAGCTCAGCCAGGCGGGCAGCGGCATTTCCAGGGAAGGCCAAGGACTGGCGTGCGGGTGCTCGGCCCACGGGGGAACCCAACCCCGGCAGGGACCGGCCGGGCCGCACCTGCCGAGCCGGCGCGGCGGCCCCCGCAGCGCCCACAGCACGTAGAAGGTGGGGCCGCCCTGCCGGGCGCTGCCCGCGGGCCCCGGCCCGCCCCGGCGGCGGGCGCGCAGCATGGCGTGAGCGGCCCGGGCCGCCGGGGCCGCATTAAAGCACCGCGCCGCACCTGGGGCGGCCCCCGCATCCCCCGGCGCGGCCCCACAGCTGCGGGGAGCCCGGCCGGGCCCGCCCTGCCCGCCGCCGTCCCGGTTAGCGGCAGCCCTGCCGAGCCCGGAGGAGAGCGGGGGAGTAGCGCCGGCTGCTCAGGCCTGCCGAAGCAGGACCAGCCTTGTCTCGTACTAAATCAGCCTCTGTAGAATCGCGGAATAGATTAGGCTGGAAAAGACCTCTGAGATAATTGAGAACAGCCAATGACCGAACTCCACCATGTCAACTAGACATGGGCACTACACATCCAGTCTTACCTTAAACAGCTCCAAGGATGGTGACTCCACCACCTCCCCTTGTGGTCACTCTTTCTGTGTGGAAATTCCTTCTAATGTCCAACCTAAACCTGCCCTGGCACAGCTTGAGACTATGTCTTCTTTTTCTGTCACTGGCTACCTGGGAGAAGAGGCCAAATCCCACCTGCCTACACCCTTTTCAGTAGTCCTAGAGAGTGATAAGATCTCCCTTGAGCCTCCTTTTCTCCAGCCTAAACAACCCCAGCTCCCTCAGCCACTCCTCAGAGAACCTGTGCTCCAGATGTTCACTATTTGTACAGCCCAAGCCACATGACCTTTTCCAGAGAGGGATAATTTGCTTGCTGATTCCTAAATTATGGTATCTGTATGGTATCTGTATGCATTTCTTGTAGTCTTCATGAAAAAGAGCAGGTGTGAGCCTTGCTTCTCTTACTCTGCAGTCAGGGCTCATATTGAAGGTAGGATGGTGGCAGATTATCCTTAAAAAGTAATTATGTCTGTGTGTGTGTGTTACTACCGTCTCCGCTGGGTAACTGATACCACACTGATACCACCTGTACAACAATGAGTAGCTCTGCTAAGATTAAAACTGCTGTTGATAATCAAACACTACTAAAAGCAGTGACAGGACTTCAGCAGACAAAGTACAATATTCTGCCTATTCACCTGAAGCAGGGAAGAGCCACTTCCCTGGCAGAGGCAACAAAGCCTGCTGCAAGGCCTTCACAGAGCACCTCATGATCAGAGTGCTTCTGCTGCAGCCCATCCACAAAAATTACAGAACGGGGAAGGGGAGTGGCAGAGTGGGGGTGGATGAGAAGAACTAATGTGAAATTTTGCACCACTTCCCTGCATCCCCACTGTTTTCCTTAGTTTTTCTCTTGGCTGTATACCTGAGCCAAGCATAAGGATGTATACTGAGTGCATCATAATACAGTAGCTGTAGCACTGTTTCTCTTTAGTGGTCTTAAAATGCAATGAAATATCTTTAACTTGGCAGAATCATCTATCCTTTGGATCAGCTTGGTTTATGATTGCTCCTGCCCATTAATTTGTTTATAAAAGTGCTGCAAGGGACTAGAACAGAGAATTGAACCTCTGCAGCACTTGTCCTGCCAAACTTAAAATGAGATGGGTGAGAAAAGATTACTCCTGCTACAGGCATCATTCCTTATTATCACCAGCAAGTGCTTCTTTCAGGACATGTAATTGTAATATGATAAATCTGATGGGCAAAGCAGCTGTGAAGGGCAAACACTTTTCTCTAGACAATTTAATGGGTATCTGGTAACAGAAGGGATACTTTTTAAATCCTCCAGATTGAAAGCTGAAGTAACAAAGGAACTAGGGGATCTCTGCAAATAGAGGTGACAAGTACCAGTATGAAGAACTGAAGGGTAAAGTATTTGAACTTTATGTCCATTATATGAGATTGGCTACTTGCTTGTTCCTCTCTAATTCCTCAAACATTCAGTACAATCTCAAGAAAAATAGTCCAGCAAGTCATTTTAATAGACAAACGATTTTCTGCCTGGAACCATCGTCATGAGCTGATAACAGAGCATTTTCCTATCCATTTGCATCAGAATCTCCTGTACATTCCAAAGTATATTTTGCGTATTTGATTCTTCTTTGCTCCTAAAACTAACTGCATTCTTGTTTTGTTGGAAGGTCTGTAGCTGAATTTTTCATATCAAGATATTCACTTGCCTTAAACAGAAGACGAAGTTCTTGGTTGCATAGTGAAAAGTTTATTTAAAGGGAGTAAATTCCAATAGATTATTACAAATCAACCACAACACATCAAATATAAACAATACAAACCAATTGTAGAAGGAATGCAAGCACACTATAAATATAGCCTTCATACGTGCCCTTCAGAAAGAGTTCAGTGACACATTTTGTTAAAATATTCTCTTCTCTATTTAAAACTCACCTCGTGGTGAGAACATGGAAAGCAAACATTTGGCACCAAGAACTCAATTTTGAAATCACAGGGCATCAAAAATATTCACATCACATAGGTAAGGACTGACAAACAACCATCACAGTTCACAAGAACATAGCTCTGAAAAAGGTATGACCAGCTACAAGGTGCTCCCCATTGAAAGCATGTGCTAATGGCTTGGAGCTGTGAGTGGAAAGCAGCTTGCTTCCCTCTGAGGAGAACTGTTCCCAGGGCATCTTGGAGGTTGCAGGGAAGCTATCTCCAGCTATTTATCATTTCCAAACATGGCTCCTAAATGTCAAGGTCATTACTTGGCAAGGTCTCCTTAGCTCTGAATTTTGTGGCTGGCATCCTGCTTCTTGCCCAAGGGACTTGACTCACCAGTCCAGATGGGTTTAAAACAGATAACCCTCACTGATGGATCAGAAAATCCTTCCTCTCTCCCTTCCCAGTAAAGGCTACATTTAATGTATGATGATTCTGAGAAAGCAACATGTAAAATCCAGAATGGAACCCAGAAAAGCCAAGGTGACTCAGATCCACCATCCACCTGGCCTGATGCACCTTCAGCTGCAACATCACCACAGTTTTGGAATAAGTAGCCAGAGACTCTCTCCAGGCAAATGTGGACTATCCCCCCAGAACACTCTCCTCCTTGTAATATACATTTGAACTCTGCTATTTTATGTACCTTTTTTACCTTTATTTAATTGGTATTTACTGCAGATCAACTTCTTTAGATAAATGCCTTAGCACTTTGACTCCTGCTAAACTTCTGTCTTTCACAGTCTAATTAGCAATGTATTTAACACAATCAGTTCCCAGTTTTTCATTCTGCCAGTTGTGAAGTTCTCATTCATCTACATGATCTTTTCACATCCAATATTTTCCCAGATATGAGAAAAGCAGAAATAGTTTTTCTTTTACACTTGTAGATATATAAAAAAAAAAAACTAAGCAAAAAACTTGGTACTTTGGTCTCTCATCCACCCTCAATATGCATTAACACACACCACTCACAACTCTGGATTTCAACACTCTTTTTAGAGAAAATTATGAATGGCCATAAGAAACACTTTTCTATGTCTATCTAGTGTTCCTCTGGTCCTTGGGTTTAGTATCGGCATATCAAAAGGAGTAGTCCTCTGGTGTTCCTAGACATCTGACAGCAGCATATGAAGGCAAAGAATGTATGGCACCAGGAAATTCAAATACCATTGTACTACTCATTTTACAGCAACAAGGTGGTCTATGAACAGATCAGATCTTCAGGAACAGCCTAGAGAGGCCCTCCCTGCCTGACCTTGGCAAGTACCACCCCCTACCTAAATGGGCAAGAAATAAGAAGAAATCTCTTGTGTTAATGACACCTATGGTTCTCATTTCAGACTTGCTGTTTGTTCCTAAGGCACCTTGTGATAAATTCTCTGTAGAGTGGCTTTAACACAGGTAGTGAAACAAGAAGGAAGAGTATAAGCAGTGGGGATGAAAATGAACTCATTTAGGGATTCATTCTCTACCCTAATTCCCCAAAAGAACAATAAAATATTTCAGTAGCTAGACCTGTAATAAGGTTTACCTCAAATTCACCTCACCAGGTCCAGCTCCACAGTAACTGTCCCACTGCAGGCCATAGGTGGAGGTTACATGCACACACAGGTACAAGGAGATAAGCTGACAGGTAGAGCCACAAAGAAAGGCATGTGGCTGCCTTCTAGACTCAGTGTGTAGTAACTTGACTTTCCTAGCACCTGAAGTCAGGTAACTAAGCTCTTCCTCTTAACACATTTTCATCTTACCTGTTTGTGCATATTAAATGGGTCCCGAGCATAAATTTGCTACAAGCCTGTGTCTGCCACCAGTAACCTTTCCTGAGAACATGTATTACAGGCTTCCAAAGGGTCTGAGTAACTGTAAGCAGTACCAGCAGTGGTCCTTGATTTAAGCAATTTTAAGTCTCTGTTCTCAATAAAACACATACATTTTTAACTTCTGCTGCTACATTACACCTAAAGCAAAAAAAGAGGAAACAATGGAAAGCTTACTACCTTCTCTGACATAAAAAATGTCCAACAGATTAGTACCATTATTGTAACTAAACACATACACAGGGTAATTTTTATACAAGTCCTTTGCTACAGGATATATCTCTGACTGAACATGTAAATTTTATTTAGATCTAAATTATATTCAAAACAAAATGGGAAACAATTTTGTGCTTTCACAAAGGCAAACCCAAAATGCAAAAGAAGCTTCTTCCTTGATTTAGGTTTCTGATTTCTAGAGACAATTTAGAGGGAAAGAAAAAATATATTAAAAACCTATTTGAAATCTTCCTTCCATAGAAACAAAAAAAAATTGCTTTCCTGAGGATTAATTTCCCTCTCTGAAGTGCAACTGCATTTAAACTTTATTTTTCTTTCTTGACCCAAGGTCTAATTCAAAAAATCTCTATTTAAATAGGAAGGGTTTCCATAACTGCCTAAGCCAGCTAGCAAGATTGAATACAAATCCAGGAAATATTACAAACTGAAAAAATTACACATGTGAAATAAGATTATTTCTTTGACAAAACTATGGATTTGATATTGAACAGGAATGGCTGCTGTTAATTACTAGACACATAGCCAAGCTATTTGATTTATCAGAAAACTAATTAAAACTGTATCCTTCCAAAAAGAAGTTGTCACTTTGATAATGCTAGTCGAATACCTGAGAAACAACATACTTGTATAATGTGGAAATATAAGAAAATAAACAAAAAGAAGAATTATCCTGTACAACAGTGAAGCTTTCCTGAAGATTAAATATTCCTAAAACTATCTTGTGTTCATAAAGGATACCAGATACTTTTGGGAAACTCAAGCAGTGAAATAACACACACCAAATACTTTCAGTTCCACTGCAGCAGGCCTGTCTGTGGGCAGGCTGCATTTGCAGGCTGGGCACATCCTCTTTGCAATGACATTCCCCATTCAATGCTGTTTTTGGGCTTACGTCAATGGGACCAGGTAGATGGGCACAGTCCCAAAAGAGTGATCCAAGCCTTATTAAAGATTGGTCCACACTTCAGAAAGCAAGAACTGAACAATAGGTTTGCCATCTACAGTGCCATTTATCTTAACAAAAACCATTAACTAATGGCTTGAAAACTGGGACATACTATCTATGTCTTAGCAAGTGATCAAAACTGATTGTAAGGCAGGTTTTGTGATCAAAACCACTGTATAGTTTTAAATTGAGATAACCCACTACCATGCAACAAACTGTGCAGCTGAGGATCAGTAATTCTGGAATATCTCATGTATATACAGGTCAGAATTCCCTTCAAGATAAATAAATCCTAACTAGAAAGTGAAGTACGTGCCAAATAGCACATCATGTGTTAACCAGCACACACAGAGAGGATTCTGCAGATCTCACAGCCAAGGACCAACAGCAATCACTGAGTGGGGCAATGCTGACATTGTGGTCAGACTGAAGGGTCTATTCCACCTTCTTCTGTTTAGTGCCTCTGGTGACAGTGTGCTCTCCCCTCCCACTTCTGCTTGAGCAATAGCCAGCCACCAGTGGTGGGTGGGAGGACTGTATCTGGCTTAAGCTTGACTCTGAGAAGACAGATAAGAACACAATGGTTAAAGGCCAAAAGTCTTGTTCAACAGCTTAGGGTCAGTTGGGCACAAGGAAACCCAAAATACAGGCTGTATGGAAATATGACAGTAAGTCAATCATTTTACTCGAGTGGACAGCCCAGGGCCTGTTACCCTCTCCTGCATGGCACTCGGCTGTGCCCCAGGATCTCCACTCAATTAGGGATGCTTCTTAGGGTTAACTCTTGAGGCTGAGAGATTCCTTGCTCAGAAGTTCTCACAAAGTACTTAACAGCATACAAAACTTTGAAATCTCAGCTAAGTGAGATACAGGATTGACTGTGCACATAATCCTTAAGATGTAAACTACCAGCCAAGTCTGGGACTAAGGCTGGACCCAGACACACCTAAATTCCCCTCAAAAAAGGAGTTTAAAAAATAAGGGGATCCTTTCTGAACCTCACAACTCAGCAGAGGGTCTCCCTGACAGTTTTGTCTGACCCTGTCCTCTATGCAATATAGTTAAATATGCATTGCCATCATATCTTGTTAAACTATTGTCACATTTACTCATAAAATCATAGAATGGTTTGGATTGGAAAAGGATCTTGGATATCATTGAGTTCCAACTGCTTTCCCATGGGCAGTGACACCTTCAACTAGACCAGGTTGCTGTACCTGCAGGGTTGTGTGGGAGACAGGTTACACGTGCTGGGGTGCTGTACCTGTGTTGCCGTGTGTGCAGGAGATGGGTTACACCTGGATCACAGCACTGACCTGAGTGCAGGATAAGAGCCTTTAGAACTTGTGGGGAGAACTGGGCATGCTCCAGTTACTGCTGCCTGCAGTGCTTCAGGAGGCACAGGCGTTCTGCACTCCCTGAGTACTGCAGGAGTCACACGTTGCAGCCATGCCATGATCATTTCTGATGCTCCTGGCACAGCCCTGCTTTACAGGCCTTGTCTGTCCATTTTGTACCGTATGTGTGTGAGCTGACTGACATGACTGATGCCTGCTATCTGATCAATGCTTCATGAATCTCTTTGTCACATTTTTAATCAATAACTTTCATTATTCACAAACCAATACTTTAAAAGGGTAGGGGAGTAAAATCCCCTAATGTATTTGCTTGCGATTTGCTTTTTTAACTCAACTATCCTTTAAAGCAGAAGCTGTCATGAAAGAATACTGTAAATTGCAGAATGTGATGAGTAACTCAGGTGGCCAGAGCTGCAGAAGTGTCTTTATAATACCGAACTGCTACTGCTGGATTTGGTTATCAGCTTTTTAAGGAATTACTTTACCATATGGGTATGAGTATTTGTGCAAAATATAATGAAACTGTTACTGTGTTTAGAGTGTTTCTAGAGGCTTCAATAATTCAGATTTTATTAGCAATGATAGTTTCAATAAACTTTTAATGAAATGTTCATTTATTTTATAAAACAGCCCATGAAAAAAAAATCTCATTTCTTAAAACCAGTTATTTGAACACTTTTTTGAGTCCAAAGGCATGAAGTGTCTGGAGATTTTTGAGAATTTCTGAAATTTCTGTCTGAATGTGAATTACTGTGTGTATCAGATGGATATATGAATTATAGTTTGTATCCGATGGATAGACCATAATTTGTAATGATACAGACCCTTTTCCCTCTTTCTTGTAAGAACCACTGAAGCTGGAAAAGAAGTATAGTCACATTTCCTGACAATTTGGGACAGTTAATTCCAGCACTGACTTTATTTTCAGAGACTGGCTTGTCTTGTTAAAGCATTTACTAAATAAATTTGCCATTTCCCTGTTGTTGGTATCTTTTACTTCCTACATCATCTGTTTGAAGAAAATTATTAATCTAATCCTCTACTGTAAGATTCTACCTGATGCAGTCTTTAGGTAATGGATTTAAGTGAAATTCCATAAACTTGGAATTTGGACAATTTGGAGTTCACAGATTGACTTAAGCTTGTACCCCCTTTTACAAAAACACTTCCTTGACAAGCACTGAGTGATGAACAAAAGTATTTTTTCCAAATTAACAATGTAAAAAAATAATTCAAGGAACAACCTAGTGAAACCTCTAAGAAAAATGTAATTCCTATTTTTTATTTCCTTCAACAGTCCTGCAGAACTTCACCACTGAGTTTCAACACCACCAAGTTTCCCAGAGACTGCAGAACAGCCTAAAGAACCTTGGCATTGACCACACATGTATGTGGCTGATCTTACTGCTTTGGGACATGACCAACTTCTGTATTTTATGTGCAGCTTTTCTTCTGGCATTGGCCCATAGTGTTTTCTGTGTGATCATAAATGGTTTTAAGGTGTTTTCCAGTGACTCAGTACAAAAGATTCATAGAATCATAGAATATGTTGAGTTGGAAGAGGCCCATCATGATCATTGAGTCCAGCTCCTGTCTCAGGACACCCCAACAATCAGAGCAGGTGCCTGAGAGCGTTGTCCAAACACTCCTTGAACTCTGTCAGGCTTGGTGCTGTGATCACGTCCCTGGGGAGCCTGTTCCAGTGCTCAACCACCATCTGGGTGAAAAACTTTTCCCTTATACCCAACCTAAACCTCCTGTGACTCAGCTTCAGGCCATTTCCTTGAGTCCTGTCACTGGTCACAAGATTGAAAAGATCAGTGCCTGCCCCTTGTGAGGAAGTTATAACTGCAATGAGGTTTCCCTTCAGTCTCTTCTTCTCCAGCCTGAACAGACCAAGTGACCTCAGCCACTCCTCACATGGCTTCTCCTCCAGACTCATCACCATCCTCGTGGCCCTCCTTTGGATGGTCTTTAATGGCTTAATGTCTTTTTTATATTGTGGTGCTGAAAACTGCCCCAGCACTGGAGGTGAGGCTGCCTCAGTGCAGTTCAGAGCAGGACAATCCCCTCCCTTGCCTGGCTAGCAATGCTGTGCCTGATGCAACCCTGGCTGCCAGGGCACTGCCTGGCTCATGTTCAACTTCCCATCAACCAGGATCCTCTGGTCCCTTTCTGCACTGCTGCTCTCCAGCCTCTCATTCCCTAGTCTATACACAACACACCAACTATGAAATGTTGTAAAATTGGTGTTTTATATCAGCTACTATTATTTCTCTGTTAGAAGTGAAGTGTGTCACTCTATCAGCAATATCTAGGGACTTGATAGGTGATCAAGTGGGTTTTTTTCCAAAGGAAGAAAAAACCCAAACACCTTAACTAAATTTCTCAGGCCTGATTCAAGTGCTGTAGAAAGGCCACAGTATGGTTCTTCATTTCATCCATGACAGGTTAAAGGAAGGAACAGCCCTCTCCAAGCTGCTAACTGAGAGAGCATCTTGCTCTGACAGATACCAAGCCCTACTGTTCTGTCTCCCTGTGCTCGACCTGCTTGAATAAAACAGCTTTGCAGTTCCCCCCAACCCTGATGGACACACTCTCTTTTGAGAAAGGTGACTGTTTTCTCCCCTTCTCAGGGCCCAAAGCAGCAACAACTCTGCTCCTTGCCGACTCCTCCAGAAAGCCACTGTGCTCCAAGCAGTGCTCTTCCAATCCACTCCTCCTGCTCCCAGCTTGGGCTGCTCTGTTGTAGACTGACTGCTTCCTCTCTTACCATTTTGGCCTACTAAGTGCTCTGGAGCAGTGAATCAGTAAGCAGAGATAGCTAAAAGTAAGCTTGAATATAGAGCAAATTGTACAGCATTACAATATACCCTTAGTAGGAAATATGCAGCCCTTCTATGAGAGCAAAATCTTTGGCTTTAGCTACCCCAAATAATTCTGTCCGTCATTTCCTGTCAATAGAAGGAATGGACCAAGTAGAGGCGCTTTACCTGGATGATTTAAAAATAAAACTCAGAACTTTTCTAGTATCACCATGGAAAAATCATTTTGTGTCTCTGCAAAGAGGTATCAAAATGTAAATACAGCAGTATTCTTAGAAAAGAGAACGAAGTTAAAAGTATTAAAATAAACAACAGTTACAAATAAACATGTCTTAAAATTCATCTCTGATGGATTAACTTCTCCTTGTTCAACTCAGCCACTGCTTAAGCAGAAGGTGATAACTAATACCATCACTAGTCACCAAAACATGCCAAGGAACTTCCCAAAAATACCTTTGCAACAGCAATAGCAGCTGACAAACTGCATTGACAAGCTGTAGCACTGCCAAGCCACTGCAGCATGGGCTGCTGCTGGCCAGCAGCACTCCCCACCACTCGTGTGAGTGAAGGAAGCACTGACTGCTGGTGACTGTAGCGATGGTAGGTGATGGGCCAGCTGTGCTTCTGGCTCACTGAAGCTAACAGCTGCCCTCTAGTGATGCAGATGCAGCAGGAGAGTTGGAAAAGTTATTCACAAAATAGTAACATTATTTTCACTTCATTTTGTACCAGCACAACAGATCAGAACCACAACCACCTGAATGTGACTTCTGAGCAATTGCCAGCTATGACTTGAAGGCCCAGCCCAATGCCTGCATGGAGCAGACCTCCCAAAGTTTTAGAGAAAGAGCAGCTGTCTGGGAACAACCAGGCAGTCACAACTACCTTTCTCCCCTGAGACAGTGGGGAAGAAGGGTGCAGGAAGAAACCAGTTCATGTCCAAAGAAGAGCTGGCAGAATTGCGCCTGGTTCTGTCACACAGCAGTGCCCGTCAGGCAGTACCAGGGCTGGGTGGCAGCCTGCTACCCTCACCATTACCTGCCTGCCATCCTTGCCCCTCCCCTCTTCTTCAGCTAGTGTAGTAGATGTGAAAGAACAGAGTCTTGTTGCGGAGCAGAGAGTACGAGTTATCAAACTTGAGCAGGTAGATGCCCTCGCCCGGGTACTCGTGGCTGCCTGCCTGTACCTCCCGATGGCTGTTCCTGCGGTACACAGGCAGGATCTCTCCATAGCGGTTCCGCAGGTAGCTTTTGGAACCCCGTTCCACATCACCTACAGGGGACAGTCCTGAATGGGAGAGAGGAGACAAGTAAGTAGGCCAGAACCACTGCATGATACAGAAAAAGACCAACAAGATCAGAATGCCACACAGACATGCAGCTATATGGAAGGCTACCAGTGATAGCATTACCTAGAGCATCTCCTCTGACCTTTCTGCAAATAATTCCCACAAAGTCCAGCCTTCCTTATCATAAAAAAGGTCATATCAAGAATCAGTTCTCTTGAGAATACTGATTGGACAGTATTTACTAGCCCACCAGCCCAGTCTCCTCTCTTTTTTAGCTTACCTTTCAGACACCTCACTGCTTTTATACATGCAACAGCAATCCTGTGATATAGACTTGAAGCAAAGAGAGGCAGAAAAGCTCTTAGCTGTTACCTCATAGTGTCTCTGTCCTCAATTGATTTCTCCAAGAGAATTCCTCATAAAGGAACCTACCCCTGCTTAGAGGGCCTGCAAAATTCAGACACGAACCTCCCAGCTACACTGGTCACACATACACTGAAGCCACAGAACATCCATTATTACTATGTGTTTCTCAAGTACAGTGATACAGGTAGCAAACATTTCAAATACAGTCAGAAGGAGCTACTGATGTACTGGGGAAAAAAAGAAAAAAAAAAAAACAAAACCAAGAAATCCTCCCCTCCAAACAAACAACAATACAAAACACCAACCCCCCCAAAAAACAAAAAAAAAAAAGAAACAAACAAAAACCAACAAACAAGCAAACAAAAAAAACCCCAAAAAACAAAATAAAATAACCCAAACAAACAAAAACAAAACCGAAACAACACCCCAAAACAAAATCTTCTTGCCTCCACTCACCACCAGAAATTTCTCAGTCTGAGAATCTAACAAAAACAGTCAGGTTAAAATTTCAGACTTTATCATCTAGAAGTTGGCTGAGTGTATTCTGATATTATTTTTCCATGTGTTCCATTTTAAGAATGCTCTTGGAGAGGACAGCCATTGACATACGCTGAAGCAGGAAAGGCCAGATGCTTTCTTATCACTCTATAACCAAGAAGCCAATAGGCTGCAGAGATAGCAAATGGGCTGACTAAACAAAGTAGACGGAAATTGTAGCATCTGACAGATACTCTTAGCAGCATGGCAACACAAATTAACCTTTATAAGATCTGCACTAACCTTCAAGTTCCTCATCCTCCTCTTCATCCTCCTCATCACTGGATTCACTGACCTGAACAGTAATGGCAGTGCTAGTAACTGTGGTCCAGTCAAAATAGACTCCAAACCCAATGTCGTAGTCATCCGTAGCAAACTCCCAGCAAATGCATTTCCCATCAGGATGGGTTGGCACACGCACTGTCACCACCTCGCCTCGCTTCACCACCATCCGGCCATTCTTCTCCTTTCCCATCTTGGCTTTGAATTCCTTCATCTTCTCAGTGGTCCACATGGTGGGTGCAGCCAGAGGTGGAGGTTGAGCTGAGACATGGGAAAAGTTCACAGGCTAACATGACTTTTCACTACTGACAAACTATTACCTGAAAACAGTGAAGCTATTTCTGGTAAGGGGCCTGCATTCTGGGGCCTGCTCCCAAAAGCCCCAAATGTGAAGTTTTTCCACTCACTAGCCAGGAACCCTTCTAATTCCAGCAGGAATTAGAAGTATCTCCAGGACAGTCTCTGGTCTTCTAGCCAGGGCAGGCACTTAAAAAATTACCCAAACAAGAGATATGCCTTCAGGACTCACCTTTTCTCTGCTCCCCAAGGAGGTCTGCAGTCTCTAGCTCAGCTGAAAGGATATCCACAGCACCAGTGTGGTCTGACTGAATCATGACTATATCCCCTACTCCCTGAGGTACATGGTAGTTGGTTAATCGAACAGCTTCCTGCACAAAGCACATAACAAACATTGTCACAAAGACCACCCTGGGTAAAAAGTCTCTGCCTAGATTTGAAACAACTCGTTAGTAACTCAGGCATCTTTAGGAAACCAAGTCAGACCTGCAAAAGCTTCTATTATTAGTATAGACTAGCTCTGAGACACCTCTCAGCATGTTTCCCCCCATTGCACCAAAATCATGAACTTTGAAGTCAAATACTACATCAGTGTCACAAATTTCACTCCCCTTGGTCTCCCAGGGCATCCTGGGCAGGCACATTTTTGCATTTGCATCAGAGTTTATTGTCACTCCTCAACAAAGCAATGGCCTTATACATTTAGCCGACTACTCTTGGAAAAAATTCTCAACACACAAGCTGTCTAGGGAGAGCCTTTCAGCCCTGTGTGCATCTCGACTACAGCCACAATCAAACTACAATTGCTACATCCTAGTTACAAGTCCATCTGGTTCACGCTCTTTCCTTATATGCAAACTCACAGGTCCTGAACTCAGTGTCACTTGCACAGGTTTCCCTGACTCTAGCTGTAGGGCAAACACATTTGCTGCTCACAAAAAGAAACAAGGCATTTCAGTTCCCTCTTCCAGAAATCCGCAAGAATGGAATTTCCAGAAGCACCAGGTAAGAGCAGAAGGTGACAATTACCTTGAAACCTCAGTGAACAAGGAAGCAAGGACTAGCTGAAGACACAAGAGGGATTTTGCAAATTAGACTGATACCACTTATCTCCCACTAACGTACAGGAAAAAATGTAACTGAATCTACGTTAATACTACTTTTATCTTCACACAACCCTTAGAGCCTCAGTGCCACAGTGGCAAGCACAGCAGTAGGGTGGGAGAACTGTTGCTGCACTTCTGTCTTCATTCTCAGACATAAAAAACATCCATCTACCTTTTTGAGAGACTGGATTTGGTCAGGCAGCTTCTCTTCTACTACAGCCACTTTCTGGTCCCTCAGAGTGCCAATTTCTTCCTTTGAATGCTCTGTTGAGTCTGCCCTCAGGTATGCCCCAGGCTGTGACCTTTTGGAGGAAGAGAGCAGTACAATTCAGCACTTGCACCCAGGGCACAGCCAGCAGAGGAATCACTGCTCTGGAACTCAAATTCGGATGAATGGAAGGAACAAGCTTCTGTGGTCAGCAGGTGCTGACTGGACAAATAACCCTGCCCACCCAGTCCTGCCATGTCTACATGATTACTTTCCACGTGAGCCAGGGGGAGCAACTTCTGTGGGACACTCCATATTTGCTATCCTCTAGATGGCAGAAATTCACTGCACTCACCCCACAGCATGCTGGCTCACCAACACTATGGCAAGGACAGACATCAGTAGCAACTTTTCTGCCCAAGAAAGGACAACTTTTATGCCAGCTAGTGCATGGCATCTGCATACTGCCTCAGAGGTCAACTGGATCGGTGAAAGAACTCAGAACAATTTTGACAGCCATCCTGAGAATGCCATCTATTTAAGTGGCCCATTATGCCTTTCCTTACTAGCATTTCCAGCAGGTACAGGGAGCACCCAAGTGTCTCCCTGCCATATCCAAATACACCCCACAGATAAGCAAGCAGTAAGACATACAATGGGCAGCACAATAACTTAAAAGAGATCCAAGTACTGCACTGTAACAAAAGAAAATGGACATGCTGAAACAATAAGAATGCTACATAGCAGGAAAAGAATGGGCAAGAAAGGAAACCTCTCTGGCATTTATTCTCTGTTGAGGATTTTCTTCTAAGTTATATTTTTAAAATTGCTGCATGTTGTCTATAGGTAGACTTATAATCCCAAATGAACTCAGATGCCAGAAGAGTGTCCTCTGTAAAGCTCTCATTACATATGTGAAACTTCTATGAGAAGCAACCTAGTATTAAATAAGAATAGAAATATTTGCACTTTTGAAAATCAAAACTTTCTCACAGCACTATAAAACCAGTGTCAACTGCCTTGCTCTAAAGGATCAGAAACATGAGAACACAGCATTAATGGAAAAAAAATGCATTTCTTCAAACGAATCCTTTCAGAAATGAGAAATATTCTCATTAGCATGGAAGCAGACTGAGTATAGTTTGGAATAATTAAAAATAAAATAAAATATACACAGCTCAAGTCTTCTCTGCATCCACAGAGAAGACTTGAACAGGGCAAATGTGGCTTTTGTTTTCAAATTGCTACTCCTACGGCACTACAGAATTTATCCAGAAACAAAGACATTTTTTACTTATATTCTCTCAAGAGTGTGATTTCCTTTCCTAGAATTGGCATGATAGACCAGAAGGTCTGTAAGAACAACTCAAATGAGACAAATAGCAGGTTCACAAAATGGCAGCAGATGGGCAAGATAAGAAGAATACTTGGCGAGAACAATTTTTTAAAGGAGGAATTCTTGGACTTCTATGCTATCATTTTTCAGCCTATTTGCATTTCAGTTTAGCAGGCGCATGAACACACCTAGATGGGCTATTTGGCCATTTGCTACCATAGGGACACACATCTGCTCAAGAAGCTCTCCATCAACACAGGAGCTTACAGTTTGGGAATTTTTTCCTCTAGATACCACTGATACCTAATAGTCTCACTGAAAGATTAGAAAGAGGTACATAAGCTTTACAGGCAGACTTACAAAGACAGATTTCAGCTGATTTCTTCTCACACAAACCTTTTGGGCCATCTCCATCCCTTTCAAAGAAGATCTAAATTAAGACAAATTTAATAGATAATGTCCACAAGTGTCCATCATCTACTTTAGCTATTTTGCTCATGGTCTGTATAGACGATATAATAAAAAGATGGAAGAACTCATTTACACTCAGAATGTCTGATAGAGATGTCAGCAGCATCAAACCAAGATGGCATCAGGCTGCTGTTTTGGTAAGAAGGGTAGTTTGATGTGAGGGTTTTTTCCTGGAATTTTGCATTTTTTTGATGAAGTTGTGGTTTACCTAGTGGAATTAACTCACGCATTTCTGAAATTGTATCCTGTGCAACAAATGTATAATGGCAAATGAAACTGCACTGCATTGTGTTAGTGCTTCTAGCCAATGAAATTACTTGGCCACAAACACATGCCCAGCTGGTACCAACAAGCCAAATGTCTGATAACAGGAGGATTAATGGAGAGACACAGAAAACAAACAATGAAGAAAAAAGCCAAAACATTGTCAAGAAAATAGAAAAAGATATTTTCTTGTACAGCTTCCACCAGACTTACACACAGTAAGCATGCTTAATTATTAAATAGGATATAGAAAATTTCCCCCTGAAAATGTACTAGCTCTTATAATAGATTATAAAACCACACAGGGTTCCTTTCAAGCTGAATGACTCTGTGATTTGAATAGCTGAGCCATGAACTACATTTCACAAGCTTTAAAACAACCCTAAAGCCTGTAAGAACAGGCCCTCCCATGCTGACTATGGTATGTCCTGTCCCAAAGCAGACAATTCAGTCTCAAATTCAGCCCCTTCTTTTTACCTGCACAGAACAAACTGCCATATAGAAGAGGTCACAGGACTGAAACAGACTGTCATGCATGCGGGCCACAACACACAAAAAGGTTTTCCTACCCGCTCTGCGAAGTACTGGACTCCAAAGAATCAACTAGCTGATCTGCAGGCTCTGTCCTTTGGGCTGAGTCTTCATTTTCTAACAACAAACAAAATATAGGAAATGAAGGTGAAATAAACGTTGGTGTTTATAATACACTGAAGGAAAAAAACCTGCAGCCAGTACTCAAACACCGACAAGGTCACACAGCTGTGGAACAAAGACCTGTGCCAACCAGTTTTTTGTGTTATGAGCTGTTTCTAGAACCTTGTGAAGCAAAGATTTTTAATGGCCTCAACCCTAGGAAAGGGAGAACAAAAACCTTCGCATGTTTGTGGTGTAAAGCCATTCTCAGCATCAGGTTTCATTCAGGAACTACTAATCCTAGCTTTAGGAGGACAGAACAAGGCCAAATTTCCTCATGCAAAGCTGAGCTGACAAAGCTCTGGAAGAAGCAGTCATGCAGCAGTTCACAAAGGGCACCGACGAGATGGAAATTCCTAGGTCAGTGCTAAAAGGACCTTCTGTAAAGATGGCTCCTGGTCTTCCCCGAGTCTCCTGAACTCAGGGAAAGCTCCGTCCCATACGAGTGCGGTTCGTGCTTCCCAGCCCTGCTCTCCTATCGGTTCAGGCAGTGAGCAGGGCACGGACAAGCTCCAGCTTTCGCAGGTTGCTGATGCCCCGCGGAGCCGCCGGCCCTTCCCGAGAGTCAGGGCGGGAATGGGACAGCTCCGGCCCAGGGGCTCGCAGCCCGCGGCACAGCCCGGCTGCCGGCCAGACGGGGCCTCTCTCGCCTGGGAAAGCGCAAGCCTCCATCGCCCCTCGCTGCTCCCCCCGCACCAGAGGAACTCCTGCGGCGGCTCCCGGCGGCCGAGCGGGAGGGCAGCACAGACCGCGGCCCACCCGCCCCGCTCAGCCCCGCACAGCCGCACCGCGGGTGGCACCGGGGCGCCGCTGTCCGCAGCGGGCACCGCAGGGAGCTGCCTCCCGCAAGCGCGGCTGCTCCGGCAGAGACGAGCTAGCCCACCACGTAAAGGAAACTCTCCCGTAAGGCCAACGCTAAGCACACGCCGCCGGGCTGCCCCCTGCCCTGCCCGTACCTGCGGGGCCCCGGGGCGCGGTGTCGCCGCCCGGGGGCTCGGAGCGGCAGCCGGCGGCGGCGGAGAGCGCGTCCGACATGGGCACGGCTCGGCGGGCGGCCGGAAACAGCCGAGCGGGGCCGGAGCGGGGCGGCCGGAAACAGCCGAGCGGGGCAGACGGAAACAGCCGAGCGAGCGCGTGTGAGCCGGGCCGCAAGGAGATGGTGGCGCCCCGGTGCTCATCCCTCAGCCTCCCCCCTCGACAACGCAGCCAATCGACATTAAGTCCTGCAGAAGCCCGGGGCGGGCGGCGTTGCAGGCTGACAGCAGGGAGGGAGGGAGGGGCCGCACCTCCAGGAAGTGATGGTTGCCAAGGTGACAGGGCCCCGGAAGGACGCGTTGCCGTGGTGATCGGGGATGGAGCCGGTGGCGCCGCGCCCGGGTCCTGCGGGGACTGGGGTGGCTGAGGGGCCGCAGCCTGAGCCCGAGGGCGCGGGGGGACCGCGGCCCGTCTGCCCCTTCCTGGCCTGGAGCGCCGAGGAGGTGGCTGAGTGGGTGGCGCAGCTCGGCTTCCCCCAGTACGAGGTGCGGGGCTGCCGGTCCGGGCGCCAAACCCCCGCCCCCTGGGCCCGGTGTGTGTGTGAGAGCGGCAGGGGGGCGGCGGCAGCACAGGGCCATCCGCCTTTCTCTCCGCTTCCCTGCCCAGGAATGCTTCAGGGCCAACGGCATCACCGGCCGCCGCCTCATCCACGCCAACTGCTCCAGCCTGCCCGCCATCGGCGTCACGGACTTCGGCCACATGCAGGTGCAAAAGGGCCACGCGTTTTTATTTCCTTCTTCTACGCTTTGCTGGACACAAACAGGAGCCCTGTCTCTTCCCCATTTTATGAACATGTAATCGGTCTTTGTCCTTTCAAAGCTATATATTTTCTTTAACAAACACTGATAGTTAAGGCTGAATTTCAGGGCTACGGTCTGGCCTTCCAAAGGCCTGAATTTTTTACTAAAAATTCAGAAAATCAACAAATTGCCTTAAATTTCATTACCCTCTTTCCCTCCTTTAGTGAAAACCACAGAGGCACTGCATTTACAGAGCCAAATAATCTGTTTTGCATCACAATTTGAAGTTGCTTTCACCAGAAGGCTCAGGTAGAAGTACAAACCAAGAAGAAAGAAGAAGCTCTATGCTCCAGTGATTAAAATATTAACACTGTTTATTTTATTCTACAATACCAAAATGCAATTTTACCACAGTTCTGTCTGTTTGCACAATCTTAACTCTTTGTTTGAAACTAAATATACCACCAAAAATATTAACTAGTGCCATGACTTTGCCTGTTGTTTTGACACAAAGGCATCAACTCAACACTAAGCTTTTCAGACAGCAAACTTTCACAAATATTTCTGGTACAAGCAGATAGAGACTATAGTAATTTGTGCTTTCCAAAAGTGGAAGACTTTTCTAAGTTTTGTAATCCTCACCTTTGTATTAAGATATAGGGATTATGTACGGTGTTAGTTCAACTGCTGAGTAATACTAGGCCATGGGTTAGACCTATCAACTGGAACCCTTTCTTCCTCTTGTAGGAACTGAAGTTCCTCTAGATAAGCAATAGGCAGCCAGGACACTGCCACAAGCTTGGAAGTGAGACTGTCTCAGTAATGTTTTCCAAAGCTTGCAAGTAAATTGGGAACATCTCACAGACTTCAGTGGAACCTAGATGTTCTCAAAGGTCATGCCCTATTCTGCCAGTTATTTGTGTTTTAAAGAACTTTATTCCGACAGAATCCAAGTATGCAGAGCTCTGCAGGATGTGGCCCTTTGGGTCTTTCAGGAAGTTCTGCTAGAGTAGGTGAAAAGTTAAAACTGCAATTTCCCAGCAAGAAATATAAACGAAAGGCTGTGAGCAGTTGAAACTGATACAGTTACTATAGAAATAAGAGTGATAGCATCAACTCAGTGAGATGGAAACTGCAATTTAGGGGAAACGGCTGTTTGGTAGGGAACTACACAGCTAATTATGTGGAAGCTATGGAGCTTGGACAAGTGACTGCTGGTTTTAATCTCACTGTACTGGTATTTTAAATATCAAAAGCACTCAAGATAAGAGTCTGGTGTTCTTTTGTTATCACAAAAAGTATTCAGAGTCAAGCTGAAGTTGGGGGAAGGTTTTGAGCAAATACTGTGAAACTTTGAGCAAATCAATAAAACCTTGCAAATTGTGTTTTGAAGCTTCAATCAAATCAGATAGTTAAATTCTCAGAAGTTGCTTCAAAAACACTGGTAAGGCTCTGCTCACTCACAGTTCCAAGTTCAGCTGGCTCAGACACCCATACACTCATAATTTTCGAAATGAACAATATGATTTTTTGCTAATTATTTTTTACACCTTTGTGTAGATTGTAATTTGCATTATAATTGAACAAACAGCGATGATTTTGCATTAAGCAGAAGACACTGCAGTTCATTGATCCATAACTTGTTTGTCCTTGAAGTGCAAGGATGAAAGCTATATTTATGCCACTAAGAGACCAGATATGATGCCATCCCTGATAGTAAATCTGGAGAGAAGGTGATATGCACTGCTTTTACAGTGTCACATGCAGCTTATGGATTCAGATCCCCCTTATGTTGCAACTTCAAGCATCAAACTGTACCAAAATTCAGAATATCACTTCTTTTTCCTGCTGCTCTGACACAGAATAGATGGTTTTAGCTGTTGCTCTATTGTCTTGGTTTGAGAAATGAGAATTTCTGATGTTTCATCTTATATTTCAGGAAATTTCACGACACGTGAGAGAGTTGCTGGGGATTGAGGAGCCTCTCTTCAGCAGATCCATTGCCCTACCATACAGAGACAATATGGGTCTCTTCCTAGAGAGAAAAGCACCAACAGGAGAGAAAGCAGATGCCCTCACTTTCTCACAGTTTATCCAAAATGCAGGATTGGAGCCCTATACTACAGTTCCTTCTTTGCAAGGACCCCAGACCATGGTGAGAGTGGATGCTCTTCCTGCATCACAAGACATGCAGAGGCAGAATTAGAGACTTATACTGCACTTTTGCCTTTGAAAGAAGCCCAGCAGCCACAGCAGACTGTATCCTTATTACCTTGCAGATTTTTCAAGGAGGTACAGTTCCACCTTTTCACAATTACAAAAAATTGTGCACTTCACTGCCACTGCAACTCTCAGGTGTTTTATTACACCAAACCCATTCCCACATTGTCTCTTTTCTGCAATACTTCATTTGCTTGCAGGAACTAAGTGAAGTAGATGTTGTAGATCAAACTGTAGCATTGTCTGTCTTTCACTTCTGCTTCACAGTTGATTAAAAAAGACCAAAAAACAATCATAGACATATTTTAGGCACAAGGGAATGATAAGAACTTCCCGGATGCCCAAGTGAATAGATTTCTCCCATGCTTTGCTGTCTGCAACTGGGCTTGCTCTGAAACGCAGATGTAAGATAAATGGCATATACAATAACTGGTGTACAGGTGTGGCAACAGCTGCTGTCAGCAATCGTAATTAAGCAAGGGTCTAGGTGCAACATGCATAACTAATCCTTGGCCTTACCACAGAAATTATTTCCTGTGAGGCAAAACCAGGCAGGCAGTGTTTTATCATGGTAGACAGTACTGAAACACATGATAGATGGTGGCAGAAAGTACAAAAGAATACTGAACTAGAGAATTTAGGGAATAAAAATTGCTTTGTCCCAGGTGGATTTGGTCAGTGTATCCAGTTACCTGCTTTTTCCTTGAAGGACATATAATATAATCTGTGGTGGTGAGGGGGGGTTGCCTTATTAGCAGCAAGGAAGTAGAAGTGCTGATGAAAGCCTGGCCCAACAGAAAGAATTCTCCTGACTAAATCATTAGTATGTCGTCAGGATTCAATGGCTTTCTCAAGATCCCTCATGGGGAATAAAAAAATAGAAGAAAAAAAAACCCAAAAAAAACAGAGACTGGGCTTGATCCTGTTTAGTTTGTTACACCAAAGCTGCAGCCACTACAAAATAACTGTAGTTTGGTTTTGTAATTCAGTTTTGTATAGAAGCTGCAATAGAAACACAGAGAAACTGAAGCAGTTCATAGGCCAAGAAGACTATGCAATAAGCAAATTCAGAAAACAAAAAATAGAAAAGCTCAGGTAACCAGTAATTTTGCTGAGCAGTGTAGAGACTGAAACTCATAGAAGAAAATGTGTGCATAGGGTTATTGGCTGGAATAGTGACAGCTAAGTGCTGGTTCTTGCACCACTTAGTCCCATGAAGGGGCCGAGATGAGATCTCAGCAAAGCATTCCTCGTGGGCTTCATTTTGGTGTATGAAGACTTGGGATCATACTCAGCATTTTCCTCTGGAATGTCTGAGAAACTGTTGGAAGCAGCTGTGGACAATGGAGACTTGTTATCTGGTATCACACTAAGCTCCACTACAGCTGAAGTGAGAGATGTCTTGGTGCTGACCAGCCCACGTTGTTTTGTAGGACAGTCTCCAGAGGGTGCCTGGTACAGTAGAGCACCAGGCATCAGATGGCACCAGACAAGCTCTCTCTTTTCTAGCAGCTGGCTAAAGAGAGACTTTCTCAGTGACACAGCTGTCAGGTCAAACCAGGGGAAGGTTCTGGGAAGGGAAAACAAGTGGAAATATTTACTGGCAACAACTGTCCAAAGCAGCTTGCTAATAATTATAGCAGTTTTATTCATTGTCTGACTACAAGACTCCTTCTTGGGTCTTTGAGAAACCATCAGACTCAGAGAATTGTATAAAATGTTGCAGGCATCAGTCAGTCAAATGACGTAAAACTGAGACTAATGGCTCCAGAGTAGTCCTCCGAAGGCAAGAATCCTTTTCCTCAAGCAGCCTTCCCATCTTAACATCCTCAATAGTCCAGTTTATGAACTGTCATAAGATCATTATCCCCAAGAACTGTCCTCTCTATATATTTCCATAGGATTTTTTTTTTCATCCAATGCCCTAGTCTTGATCAGTTGCTTCAGACAACCCTGATTAAGTAGGATCTAGGGACAAAATACTTCAGTCCAGGTCTTCTGTTGCTAATACATCATCTAAGATAATTCCTGGAGCAGAGATGTGGTCCTAAGGACAACAGAGTTCAGCACTCTCCAACCCAACAAGGCAGCCCATGCTTTATGTGAGATGAGGCAAGTTGCAAAGGAGAGACAAGAAGTACCTCAGCATTCAACTGTCTTTCGCCTCTGAAGTAACTGAAGAAGCAAAATCTTTGCTGACAGAACTCTTGCACACAGGAAGCTTTTTGCTCCGCACAGTTGAAGCAGCATTCAGGAAAGCTGAAGTCATTGCTTAGTTTCAGTGCCTTCTGGTGAGGCAGATTCTGCCACATGATGCTGTTCAGGCCTGCATAAAAAATGACCACCAGCTATTCATGAAATTTCATTTTCCTTGCAGGATGAACAAAAATCAAGTATCAATCATCAGCGTGCACACAGATGTGAAGAGATATTCCCATCTCACACTGCTGGGAAGAATCACACTGACAACCAGACCTTTTCGGTTTGAAACCTCTGATCTAGGACCATTTTAGGTGAGGGATGCTAAAATTAATAGTAACAAGTCTAACATGGCTTGTATTTTATGTAGCTCATACTAATTGAGTAACCAGAAGTCCTTGACAGGCTGCATATAAAGTTGTATGACCATTCGGCCACGATGGCACAGCGAGCACTACGGGTGCTTCAAGCACACTCAGCAACGCACTAATTACAGGGCGGTTGTTCCGATGTTTCAGGTCCCCTTTTGTAGAAACAATGGGTTCGAGTCCCATCCAGTGGCAAAACCCAGAAACTGCAGGTTTGAGTCCTGCAGTAAATCCTGTAGTGAAACTGTATAGTGAAAGGTGCACTGTGAAGTTTTTTTAGGCCACATGTAAGTTAGTAAGTTAGCAGCTTTTACAGCACAGTTTGCGCAGATGCTTTGTGTTAACTCTAAGGGAGTTGTGAGAGTTCAATGCAGTATGTGAATATTTTGTGTGTGTGTGTTAAGAAGAGTGTGTTATATATAGAGTGCACCATTAAAAAAAAATTGACATAGGGCCACCCATGACATAAAGCTTGTTTGCTCAAAAATGGGTTTTGATGAATGTTATAAATATGTGAAAATCTTGTACAGGAATGATTTTCACTGCATATCCTGGCTAGAATAAAGTAATGCAACTCACCAACATCTCAAAGATAGGATCTTAAGAGTTTCATTTCTTCCTGAGTTTGGTGCCAGTTCCAGGCTCTGAAATGACATGGCCCATTTTTCTTGAGGGGAGGGATGGAGGTGTCAAGGCTGTACACAGTGACAGGACAAATGACAGCAGACGGACAGCATGTGTGACAGGAGGCAGCAGAGGAACACAATGTCCTACCAGGCCACCAGCTGAGCATTTTCTCTGCTTTTGCAAGGCTATTGCACTAATCAAGGTGAAAGGGACTCCAGAGTTCAGAGTGACAGCAGAGCTGATGAACCACCATTCTAGGCACTGGAAGACATTTACTTGTGCTCTGCCACATGCAGGTGAAACACAAACCACTGCTACCAGACTGGTAGCAGTATCTGCCTGCCCAACGTGGCACAGAGGGACTTTGGTGGCTGCCCATCACTGTTCTTACATACCAAAGGGCAGCAGCAGAGTGACAGTAAAGGAATAAATATGCAAAGAGTTCAGCTGCCTGACCTAGTCCTTGCAGGTTGATTTGAAGTCTTTAGCTATACAGCTGAGCCTTGTGGAATGTGGCTAGTTTTCAAGATCTAAAAAAAGCTATTTAATAAACCCTGTTTCATCTCTTCCCTGAGATGATCAGAAAGATAATTTTATTCCAAACATCTCCCTGGAGGAACATTCTCCCCATTTGTCTTATCTAAGAAGTTATGGGGTTATATGACTTTATATGCAGCCTGTAAATGACATTTGTTTACTCAATGAGTATGAGCTACATAAAATACAAGCTGTATTAGACTTGTTACTATTAATTTTAGCAACCCTCACCTAGAATGGCCCTAGCTCAAGGGCAATCTTATAAATTTGTCCAAGTATGTGATGACAGGGAGTGAAGAAAGGGACCCAGACTGTCATCAGTGGTCCAGTGATGACAAGGGGCACTGGACACAAACTGAAATGTGCTGGTCCATCTGAAGACACAAACCCACCTTTTACTGTGAGTGTTGCCAAATTCAGAACAGGTTTCCCAGAGAAGCTGAGTTATCTCCAGTGATGATACCGAAAACCCACATAGCCACGGTCCTTGTCTGCCTGTTTCCAGGTTATCCTGCTAAAGCATGAGCAGACTAGATGATCAAGAGGTCTCTTCCAACTCAAATGATTCCATAAGAAAAAAAAAACAAACAACCACCAACAGAAAAAAAAGCCAAAAAAACCAGTTCATAGTGCAGCAGGGAGGCTGGAATCCAAAACTTCTCTCATGTTTTTATGACCCCCTGTGGCAGCAAACTCTCCTACAAACTCTCTAAAATTAATCTGTGCTGACAGCACTTAAGGTGTTAAGTAAGGTACTGCTGCAAGCAATGTCACTCTATGGTGACATGCACTGTGCTTTTCAGAACATTAAAAAACATCCTGCAACTCCTTTTGTGGGAGCTGATAAATTGCTCAGGATTAACACACAAGAGTGACAATGTGCTTAGTGGGGAAATGAAAGAAACATGCCAAGGAGAAAGAGACAGCTTTATTTACAGAATTGAAGTGAGGTCTGAAAGGATGAAGTCAGCAGCTGCCTGAGGAGTTGTGTTTCTGAGAAAGTGCATTTCAATCTTTCCTGGCATAACACTTTCTGAGAAAAGAGCTGCTGGGGCCAGCAGGTTTGTGTCAACTGAGAGGTCCCTGTCTGCTCTCCATCCAACCCATCAGGACTCTGACCACCTCTACACTAGGTATTTCCCTGATAAAGGTATCTTCCGAATGCTGCAGAGTGCTAGCAGAAGGATACTGGCAGAGGTCCTGGCTCTCTGCAGGAGTTCACACACCTCTTTTCTGAAGGTGAGCCAGAATTTAAAAAAATAAAACAAAACAAAAAACCCTGCAACTGTTTCTTTCCCTCCCAGCACTTTTACACAGCCATGATTACTGATGCCCGAGCCAGCTTGACTGTTACAGGGACTGGTCAGGACCCTCTGGTGGAGACTCATAAATGTGACTGGCACATTCCTCTTGCAAGAACAAGCCCAGGCACCACCCAGAGCAAACATTCATCTTGCTGTGCCCAGCAACTTCCCTCCATACACACAAGTGATGCCTGGCTTACAGCCAGGTCAAATACAATCAGATTCCAAAAAGAATCAACCCTGATGGATCAGTACCATGGTTTTGCCAGCTACATTTTAGCAGCTGTCTTCAACCAGCCTGAATGCCATGGTCCCACAAGCCACGGGCACCCACTGCCACGGACGAAGGTTGATCATGCAATGAGTAGTAACAGAGCTGCTCTGTTGGCACTGGACTGGGTTTTGCAATTCCCTCTTTCAGTGACAAGGCAACGGTCAAACAGGCTGTTTCACGTGTTCAGTTCTTCCACCGGATTTGCTAAAAGAGAGAACAAGACATGACTAAGAGCAATGCTGAACACAGAGCCCTAGGGGCCAACTTAGTGACTCTCCCAATTCCTGACAAGGATAGCTACAGCCAGAGCATACCATTTCTATCAGTATAACCATTCATTCCTACCCTGAATGCAAACAAAAGATTAGCTTCCCAGCAGGGATAGAAAGTACATAGGACAGCCATGCCCCTAGACCTAATCTCTATCTGTTTCTGGTGAGAGTGTCTGGAAGAAAGAGTAAGCATTTCTTACCGTGTTGCTGAGAATGCTGTGTATCTTCTCTTCTTCTGCAGAGCCCCGCTCCACCTTGCATTTATATGCTGTCAGCTGGATACGATCCTTTAGATCCCGGTAGGTCTAGATAAAGGGCAAAACCAGCACCCAGCTGAGATAAAGTGACACTTCCATGGTTAGATGGTGTCCTGCAGATGGGCAGGGCAACTCTACAATCCCCCATCCAGTTCCCAACACAGAACAATTTCAAAGCACAAATGCTAGGAGCCTCTCTCCTGACTCATGGACTTCTACTGGGAACCTTACCATTTTTCCCAGGCCACAGGGATAAACAAACCCCACCAGGCAGAGGACAGAAGTGCACATGGCAGAGAACAGAAAAGCTAGAGAGAAAAAGCAGGCCCATGTCCCAACTCTGCACACAGCAGCAATCTACCTCTATGACAACATCATGGCACTTGTATTTGGTAGCGAGGTTGAGCCGGGTCTCCACATCTTCCACCAGGCGCACGTACTCCTGCAGCACCTGTGAGAGACAGAAGAATGTCTCAGCTCCCTTCCGCAGGTATGTCCTGTCTCATTCCCTCACCCAGTCCCAAAACCTTTCAAGGTTGGTGGTCACACACGAGTTGGCCCCTTCTTTAGGGAACAAGTGACCTCAACAAGACTGTTCAGGATCCCAGAGGTGTTGCTTACAAAGCTCAGAATCACAGAAGAAGCCAAGTTAGAAGGGACCCACAAGGATGATAGAGTCCAATTCTTGTCCCAGCACAGCATCATCTCCAAGGGTCAGAACATGTGCCTGAGAGCACTGTCCAAATGTTTCTTGAATTCTGTCAGGTTTCATGGTGTGACCACTTCCCTGAGGAGCCTTTTCCAGTGCCCAATCACCCTCTGCGTGAAGAACCTCTTTCCAGTATCCACTGGATTACCTTCCCTGACACAATTTCAGGCCACTCCCTTGAGTCCTGTCATTGGTCACCCCTCCTCTTCCCCTCACAAAGAAGTTGTAGACTGCAATGAGGTTTCCACTCAGTCTCCTCTCTCCAGGCTGAACAGACCAAGTGACCTTAGCTGCTCCTCGTATGGTTTCCTCTCAAGGCCCTTGACCATCTTCATGGTCGTCCTTTAGAGACTCTCTAATAGCTTTATAACCTTCTTCTAATGTGGCACCCAAAACTGCCCCCAGCACTCGAGGTGAGGCTGTCCCAGTGGAGAACAGAGAAAGACAATCCCCTCCCTTGCCTGGCTGGTTGATTCTGCGCCTGATGCACCCCAGGACAACACTGTCCCTCCTGGCTGCCAGGGCAATGCTGGCTTAGGTTCAACTTGCCAGCAACCAGGATCCATGGTGCTGCTCTCCAGTCTCTCATTCCTCAGTCTGTCCATACATCCAGGGTTGCCCCATCCCAGATGAAGAATTCATCACTTTCCCTTGCTGAACTCTAATTTTGGTGACTGACCAGCCCTCTAATTTATTGAGGTCTCTCTGCAGAGCCTCCTTGCCTTCTAGGGAGTAAACAACTCCCCCAGTTTTGTATCATCTACCAACTTGCTTAGTATCTCATCCAGTTGTGCATCCAAGTCATTTATGAAGATGTTGAAGAGCACAGGGCCACGGATGGAGCCCTGTGGAAACCCCCACTAGTGACCAGTCACCAGTCTGATATTGCCCTATTTACTGTAATATTTTATACCCAACTCATGAACCAGATGCTCACACATGTCATCACTTGTTTATCCAGCTGTGTGCTGGACATTTTGTCCAGGATACCCCAAGTGACATCAAAAGCTTTACTGAAATCCAAAAACATTACATGGAGTAGCTTCCCTTGATCAACCAAGTAGGTTACCTTGTCATAAAAGGAAATCAAATTTGACCAGCACAACTTTCCTCTCATGAAGCCATGCTGGCTGTGACCAATGACTGTGTTGTGCTCCAGGTTTCTCAATACCTCCCAGAATAATCTTCTCCATAACTTTACCATACACTGAAATTAGACTAGCAGGCCTACAGTCTCCAAAGTCCTCCTTCTTGCCTTCTTGAAAACTGGGACATTACTCAGCCTCAAGTCATCTGGCATCTCTCCAAATTGCCAAGACAGCTCAAAAAATCATTGAGAGGTTTTGTGATGACATTAGCTTGTTCTTTGAGGTTTCTTTGATGAATGCCATCGTGCTCCATAGATTTCCAACTGAAGCAGCAGATCTGCACAGATTCAGGGTCAACTGGGAGTTGATAGTTTTCGCAGTCATTGTAGTCCAACTCAGAGCACTGAGACCCGCTTGATCCACTATCTGTTTATGAGGTGACCATCCTCATCCTGTAATGGGCCAATGTTATTGCTACACTCCCCACTGCCATTAAAATATTTGTAAAAACTCTGTTTTTTTGTTCCCCACAATTCTGGCCAGCTTCAACTTCAGTAAAGCTTTGGCTGCAAAAAATTTTCTCCCTACAGTGGCAAGCAGCATCTGTTTTCTTCTCATGTCATTTGACCTTGCTTCTACACCTTCCTTTTTTGTCTTTGATTTCCAAGAGAAGATTCCTGTTCAATCAAGCTGGTCTTCTGCCTTGCCTACCTGACTTCCAACATTTGGCAATTGCCTGCTATTGTACCCTTAGAAAGTCATGTTTAAAAACTGACTGATGGACCCCACTGCCAGGGGACCGTACCAATTTCCTAAGCAGCCTGAAGTCTGTTCTCCTCATGTCCAGACCTGAGGTTTTGCTGGCACTTTTCCTCCTATCAACAGAATGTTAGGCTACCTTGTTGCTACGGATCAGGTTAACCATTGCCAGCCAGATTAAGAAAATTTAATGTAGCAAAGGAAGGTGGCAATGCACATGGGAAGAGAGTTCCCAGCCAATTTTGTCCAGTTTTCCCTCTTGCAGTCAGAGCCAGGACCCCAGCCCTCAATACCGCTCACACCTTCTGTTGATGCATGGGTCACTCAGCTGTGTGCTGCGCCCACCTGGCAAAGCCAGACGATCTCCCACTTCCAGCTAGGAAGCAGCTCACCTGAGGAGTCATTCATACACCAAATCCCAACAAAGAACAGGACATAAGCAGGGGTTCCTGGCTCACCTGGACAGGAGCATTGTTCCTCTGCAAGATCTCCACCACCCGGTGGAAGCCAATAGGTGCCTTCTTCTTGGTGTAACCCAGCCAGTTCTGAAATGAGAACCAAACCTATGTTAACCCAAAAGGATAATCTCTCCAGTCACAAGAAAATGTGGTTTTTCTCCCAGTGCCAACAACATACTCCACAGCCACCATGTGCACCATGTTGCAGAGCCCTTCACACAGTGCTGGGCACAGGCTAGCTGCAATCCCTTTGGTAATAGAGCTCAGGGGCAGCCCCCTTTCTCTTACTGCTGCAGCCAAACCAGGCCCAGCAGAGGTCTCAGGCAGGGAGAGGAGGAAGTACTGCAACACTCTGCAGCAGAGGTGCTGGGCCCTGCTGAAATAAAACCAGTCTGTCCAGTAACTCCAGAACAAGCCAGCTATCAGTAGCAGATGCCAGTACTTGGGACTGTGTCCCCAGCAAGGCTTTCTGCAGCTCACCTTGGTGGTGAGGAGAGCATCCACATCACCCCACGCCCGCAGCTTGGCACGGGCTGCCAGGGCAGTCAGCACATACTGCTTATCAGGAATCTGCAAGGCAGAAAGCTGCAGTCAGAACAGTAGCACAGCTCAGAAGGTCAGTGTGGGCTGGACATAAATGGCATGTGCCCCAGCTCTGTCTACACCAACACCCAGGCAAAGAGGCAAGGTGCTGCCTGATGCCATACACAGCACTGCAAAGACTAGGAAGTGGGGATTTGCAAGTGCTGCTGCAGACAGGATACATCCATTGAAAGTTTCCATATGACTCCCAATTGCCTTTCTGAGACTCCAGAAGGGCCCTGATCAAAAAGGATGCCATGGCCCCCTCCCTAAGCTCAGTGCTGAGCCCCTCAAATTCCTCCTACTGAGCTCCTTCATTACATATAGTTTATCTGCCCATGTTTTCAGCTGGTGCTGCCACAGCAGGGGAGATTCACGCACCTTAAATGTCTTCTTCAGGTTGGTGGGGCTGCTGAACATTCCCTAGAGAAAGCAGACAAGTCAGTGCAAACTCAGAAGGGCAGGCCACAGCAGGGGTTCAGACACCTGCTATAAGGCATCTTCCTTGCACACAGTCAATCTTCTCAAGATTTTACTGCTTTTTGCTCATGTCAGGGCCACAGGAGGAAGCAGCTGGCAGAAGAGAGAACTATCCCACCCTATTAGCTGTCTGGTCTGGTTTCCCTACATCCTCAACTGGTGCACGTCCAGCACTTCCAACACCAGTAACACGTCCTCAGCCTCATGGGATTTACTGGGGTTTCTAGGAGGCAACTCCCTGACAAACTGTGCCAGGTTCAACGTCTTGGAGCACAAAACTCCAAACTGGTGCCAGGGGACAAAGTCTCTCTGAGAGATGAAACATGACCTCTCTTTCCCTGTTTCTCCTTAACATGCCAGAGGTTGACCACCCCACACCTTGAGGGCTACAAGGATGAGATGGAAACTTATCTTCTGCCACATCATCCTCACCTCAGCCTCTGTGTAGTGGTAGAAACAGGAATAGAAGAGGGTGGTCACTAGTGGCATGTTGAGAATTGAAGCCTTGCGAGGATATTTCCGAAATAGCTCTGACTGCCCAGCCATCTCCAAGTGTCGATCATTAGCCTGTAGAATCAGGAAGACAGATGGGGAACATAAGCCAAGATGAGCCTGCTGAGCTGTGGGATAGAGACCTAGAGAGAGTGTTTTGACAGCAATGTGCAAACACAGCCCCAACACGCTATCAAGTCTCAGATCTGGTACTTCACATGTGCCTGGCATAGCAGCCTGAATAGCAATAACAAATACACTAGCCAGGACAGGCTGGTTAGATCCAAAGTGGTGTAAGTTAGGGACAGCAAGAGATCTCACAGGTAGTCCCAGCCATCTCCTGACCAGCAGAGAAGATTTCATACCTCAATGATGATCTGTCGCTCCAGCAGAGTATAATGGTCTTGGATGTGGGAGGTATCCTCAGCTGAAAATGGCAGCCTGGCCAGACATGAAGAAAAGAAGCACTGTGACCAGCTCTTAAGTATAGAATCCTTCACTTACTTCTAAGTACTCTTAGAATTCTACCAAACAAGCTCCCATTCTTCCCATCTTGAAAGGCTAGTGGGTACTCAAGCTCCTGACCCATTGCCCTCTCCAACTGGCTCTCTCCTTGACAGGCTCCAGAGAAAGAAATATTATGTGGTACCTCTCACAGAATAACCTAAAGTGGATGCTACCAACTACCTCAAGTGCTCAGGCACCCAGACTTTCATCCATCACAATCTGAAGGGCCAGTGGTCAGAAAGTCCCTTGAAGCATCTTTCCTCCTGAATAAGCAGCAAAAGCTACTGGACTAGTGATCACCACAAATGATTTCTCATTGGTCTACACTATATCCACAACTCTACTCCCACTGCCCACTAAGGGAAAACCGACATCAGCTCTCAACCCATGTAAGCTATGGCACTGGCACAGAGGTTTAATTTTATTCACTACCACCTCCTGTGAAGAATCCACATCCCTCCCCTGCTTTTGCATTTTTTCTTACCCAATGCAACCTTTCAGAAATTCCCTCCTTTTTTCTACATCCTGGATGTTCAAATGCTCCCGGTACTGAGACAGCTGGAGGGAGAGAGGAAAGAAGCAGTCTGTTCTCAGGGATTTGGCAGATACAGTATTCCAGAGGATGAAATGGGGACAAAAAGATTTTGCGTGATTCCCACACTCTGCAGCCAGCCTCCCCCCATGCAGTAAGGGAGCTTATGCTCCTGGGAATACTCACAGCAACTTCCTCAGTCCTGTCTAAGAACCTGCAAAAGAGAATTAGCAAGCATTAACTTGGAGGCAGGGTCCAAGCAGTGTTCAGCCCTACCACAAGATGGATCAACAGCCTCACCTGAGCAGATCCAGAAGGAACTTCTGCTCACCCGTCTCTCTGAGGAAATAAATCAGATGGCACAAGGCCACCTGCCGCACCTCCAGCTCCCGAAACAAGATCTCTGCAGGGGAGAGAGTTTATGTACAGATGGGTGAAGTAAGATAGCGCTACCAAGCAGAGGGGACTTAGCACAGTGCATGGAATTGAAAGTCACTGGCAGGATTCAACAATCTTATCCCATCTCAAATCACAGTGTTGGAGGCTGGAGCACAGAAGAGCCCAGTCACTGGGCTGACAGCTGAATTCACAGCCATGTGCTACCTCTACAGATTCATTTTCATTCATCCCATCACCACCACCTAGCACTGCTTAAAGCTCTTCTCCGGAGCCATTGTAGGCATCACCATCCCCCCCACCTCCTACGTTACACTTGCTCCTACATTACACAAAAATATTCCATGCTTAGTAAAGCAGCAATAGCCCAAATGCTCTCTTTGTAACTTGCACCCAGTGAAAGAATTACCCCCTCCATCCTTCACTGAAACACACTACAGAAATCCCAGCCCCAGTCATGCTCACCTCTCCTCAGCGTCCGTTTCAGGAATATCAAGACCTGTGAGCACAGCCAGACAGGTCAGAATTAAGACACACAAAAAACCAGCACACTGGTCAAGGCCTAGAGAAGTTTTTGCAAAGGGCCTCTGAAAACACAGCTCTTATAGCACTGAACTTAAATTCTGGTACTCACAACACCCAGGACAAGCAGTGAGCCTGGACCACAGCTGCTTAGATTCTTGCCTATACTCCTACTCTGGAGTTTAGTTAAGCAAGACCAAAATTTACAAGGGAAAACCTTTCCATGCAAAATCCAAGGAATTACAAGACCTGGATGAAGTAAGCTCTGACACAATCCTATTTCCTGTGTGATACTTTAAAAGCCAGAAAAACTGGTGAGGCCCCAGACCCCAAATACCAGGTCCCAGATATTCTGTGCTGAAATGAGCAGATTAAACCTTGACCTTCAAGAAGTAGTTGCAAAAATCTGTAAGGCTGATGGATCAAAGTCCTTGTTATTAACATTAATTATGCAGAGTGGCAGGAAAGACAGCAGGAATAGAGCATTTCCCAGTCTTTAGCTTTGACATTTTCCAATAACTGTTTGGTTTGAACTAAAGAACACCTCCCAGTCTTGCAAGACCGGGTGGCCAGCTGACTACATTCTCCAAACACTCTCTGTGGGTCCACCCCACAGTCCCAGCCCTGTATGGCCCTAGCAGGACTCACAGCTGTAATGACATTCCCATCATGCCCTGCCACAGCTTCATCCAAGAGCACCAGCTTGTCCTGCAGGGAGCGAAATCTCTCTAGAGAGCAGACCTAGAGACAGAACAGGAAAAAGCAGGCACGTGGGACATGACACAGTCCTCAGGCTGAATCCAAGGTATTATTTATTCCTCTCCCATAAGCCCTTCAGCAACATGAATAACTGCCCTCCCAATGAGTGGAGAAATTATTTCTTATGTAGCTGAAACCACATGCTGCATAATCCCCGAAAATTTGTCCACAGGAGTTGCAGTCAACCCTCATTACAGCCCAGTCTAGGACAGCAGACAATGTACATTCAGCACAAACACCCTTGTAACAAGACAAAACTTTCCTGTACACCACAAACCACTAGCCCTGACAGGAGGAAGGAACTCTGTAGGCCCCTTTCCACAAAGGAGACCAGAGCAGTAGTCATAACTCCCTTCTTCTTACCCCACGTCTGTGGCCTCTCTCATCCTTTAGTTCACCTCAGCCTGTGAGGAGATATGTGCAGAGTGAAACCACAATCTCCCTACGTGTTCACTGCACACTGAGGCAGCTGAGACTAAGATTACAGCTCCAGTGAAACAATTTCTGTCTTCCTCCCTCCATTTGCCACCAAGTGAGAATGGAGATAAAGCTCCACCCCTCAGATTTTTAAAATAAACCCAGCCCCAGGGAGCAGAAAGGGTAGAAAGGGACACAGAAGTACAGATACCTACTGTCAGAGCCTTGCTGAGGGGACAACTCAAGTAAACAAAGCAACAAAACCCTGAAGTTCTCCTGCTGCTCCTGAGCTAGTGTGACCCCAGCACTGCCACCTGGCAAAGTCACAGACAGGCAGACCACCATCCCTGCTAGGTGCTGCAAGCAACGCAGATCCCCTCCTTGCTCCCAGAATAGCCAGGAGCACAGGAAAGTCTAGAGCATCTTGGGACCACCCACCCTCCATCTCATACAAGCAGGTGGGAGTGCAAAGTCCTTACCTTGCCCCTCTGCATTCGCCTGACTGTATCTTTGGGGCTCCAGTCACTGCTGTAGTCCTGCCATGGGAAAAAATAAAGCACTCTTAAGCCTCAGATCATTTCAGCAATCTCCAAGCTGCTTTCCACTTCTGCTGCATCAGGGATGGCTTACATGCAGCTACTCACACTTATCATTCAGCTGTTTCAGGAAAAGTGTTAGTAGGATGTATATGCACATTTTTCAGGTGCAGATTTTGAACCCTCAGACTCTGCATGTGCTGGTGTGGAGGGAAGCTAAAGGCTCATATGTTAACACAGCCTTTCTACTGCCTCAGTAAGGTCTGTCATCATATCCCTTGTAAGAAGTGCATTGCATCAGGTTGCTCTCCTTGCAAACTATGTTGCTTTCAGGACAAACAAAATACATGCAAAATAGACTAACCCATAACTGAAGGGCAAGGAGTCAGTTTCTTGTTACATTTCAGACAGACTTTGCTGGTGAGCCTTCCACAGCACTGTGGAGAGCACAGGGACAAGAGAGCCTCAGGCAAGCACCTGGGGAGTCACACAAGACAAGGACAATGTGACAAAGGCATTGAATCCTGGAGGAGGACCACCTTGAGGTAATATGCTACCACTGCTGCAATGACCAGAATTTTCCTCCATCAGCAGGTAGACACTATGATCTGAAGCACTAGATAAAAAGTGATGGTGGCTCGAGCCACTCCTAACTCAGACACCATAAAGTCATCTAGGTCTCTGTGAGGCCTAGTAGTTGCAATTCAGCTTTCTGCCTCAAAAGCCCAGAGAAAGGAAGCAACTAGAACCAGCTCTGTGGACACTGAATTTTAAACCTATTGAAGATTTATTGAAAGCCCAAATCTAAGGATGAAAGGTCCTATTGGGAGACCTCTGTACGAGTCTCTCAAAGCAATGTACAGCTGAGTGTCAAATACCCTGATATTCTGAGCACCAGAGTTCCCTCCAGCACCTCTGGCCAGAGGCATCTTCTCTGCTTGTCACTGTCAGGACACTCATCAAAAGCTGCCACTAATTTTCCCTTTTTTGTCCCACCCCACTTACACCACCCCCATTTGCATTTAAGAGGCTGCATAATCCTTCTCCTTCCTGTTTCACTGCTTCTGCAGGCCCAGAACAGAACACAACAGGGCACTCTTGTTTCTCCTGCTGTGCTTTGAGGAAGTGTTGTCTGTTAGGCTATGTCATTAATGGCTAATTGACAAAATACACCAACCTGAGGAGGATCAGATGGCCAAGGACAGGTGGACCATGAACCCTAACAGCTCAAGGATGCAAATGCCAGCTACTGGAGGAGACTGGGGTCTGGAATTCAGCTACAAAACAAACCAGATGTCTAAGACTAGCTACTGGAGGGACCCCATACAGTGTGTGTATGTTCCACTAGTGGAATTGGTCAGACAGAAAGAAAGCTCAGGATCAAGTTTGAGTGTTTTCTGTATGTGTCTACTCATAAAGGTGTTGGTTTCTGTCTTGATTAATCTGTGCAGACAGCTGTGTTAGTATTATGCATGTCTGTCTCTGTAGGAAATATAGACTCAGTCCTGTTACTACCTGGACCTAGGGACATGGGATCACAATCTCACATCTAGTAAGAGGAATCCACCTAGTCCCAAAATCCTCTAGATTCTCTAACACTTATGACAGCATATCTGGTAGACAAACACTCCTGCCAGTTGAAATGCAGCCTCTGCACAACTCCCTCTATGTTGTCCCAGTGATTTATGAACAGGAAATTTCAAAACTTCCATATTTAAGAAAATGTAAAAACCACATATGATGCCAGTTTATCTGGCCGAGCATGAAAGCAGCTTACAGACAAAGCACTATTTTGAAATCCTTTCCACAAAGGCTGCTAGGCTATTCACTAAAATGAGTAACCAAAACCAAGACCCCCTACAAAGCTCTGTACTTCTGAGCAAAAGCAGAGAACACTTAAATTACTGAAACACTGCATTTTTCAGCTCCCTGTCCTATTCCCTGCATTGCCCTCTTCTGTCTGAAATAGCAACCGATCACTTCCCATGAAACCAGTAGAGTAGGAAGTTCACTAATCTTGGTATACAACAAGCATAGGCTGCTCACCTTGTACTCAGCTTTTGGTCTGCGCAGCTCTGGGGCATAGTTTTTAACTCCTGTGTCAGTGAGGGCTGAGAGGGAAAGGCACAGATGAGTAGCACATAAAAATCCTGATTCATATCCACTTCCAAACCCATCCCTTTATTGGTTTTCATGGCAGAAGAACCAAACTTAAGCACCAAATCACAATACAGCATTACTCTAAAACAAATGGTTGTCAGTTGTATGTAAGTAATTACCCCAAATCACCATGCCAATTCTTTAATTTCTTTGAGGAAAGAACAACCCATGATTGAACTTTTAGCCAGCACATGATTCAGTTTCCCTTCTTGCATCGTAAGGCAGATGACACTTCCCTTTTTTTTGGAAATGCTTTGTTTTGTGTAAATCTGCACACTTCCCAGAATGAGGCAGGGACCCAAAACTTACCATCTGAAAGGGACTGGAAACTTGAGAGTTTGCTTCGTCCTGAAATAAAAACACTGATGAGACACTGTTCCTTCACCAACACCATCTCCTGCACAGGGCACATAAACTGAGACTGCAAGCCAGTTTACTGCAGCTCTACCCCTGTAGAACAAGCCACCCTGTATAGCGATTCACACTACACCAGCACAGCTGGGGCTCACCTGCTTATGTTTTAGGGATTTGTAGTAGTAGTCTGTGGCATCACAAACCATATCACACTCCATCCCTATCTGCTCTCTTGGTCCTGAGGCCAGGAGAAGTTAGACCTGAATTCACTCATCTACCTACAGAGCAGAGGCTCAAGCACATGGCACTGCAACATAGGCATCCAAATTGAAGCCCTAGTGGATGGACCTGTCCATCTTGCTATAGCCTTTCTCATCACCTTACTGTCACAGTTGAGAGTAAAAAACCCCCCTGAGACAGAGAGACAAAGTAAAAGCTGTTTTGTTGTCTTGCTGTGTGAGAACAGAGCTGAACTCTTGCAAGCTGTGTATGTTTGCACACAGCCTGCTGCACAGCTCCCCCCATAACTAGCCAGCCTGCCACTACTGCTATCATGTGTTTGCTGAACCAACACCAACAGCAGCCAGCTCCAAATAAAGGATAATCAATCTGTCTTCTCTACAGAACTGAAAATCAAATGAGGGCTACATGGGTCAAGCCAGTCCCTTCACAGCCTGCTCTTTTCCACCAACCAAATGGATTGCCACACAGTTCTGTGCTCTACCTTGCTGTTCTTTGGAGCCTGGATTTTAAGAAGACGTATCTCCAAAGCCCCTTCCCGCTCCACAAAAGCATGTGCTCTACTGCACAAGATAGTCTTAATTTCTGACCAGTGAGCAATACACTTTCCACCTTGAGGAGAGATTGGAGCTTCCCTGTCTTGCAATACACTTCAGATGAAACAATTTACATAAGATAACACATTGCCCCTTGACAGCCTTAAGGGAAAACACATTTGTCAATAGTGTGTATAACAAACCTCACCTTTGAACAGGCTGCTCAGGGAGTAGGAAGAAGCTTGTTTGGGAAGAGCAGCATAGGAGGAAGACCCTTTCTGTAGGCTGGAGTCTCGGCCATCCAGGGAGCCAGTGCTGCCAGAGGCTGTCTCTTTGATTGACCAGGAGATACCTGTATGCAGACAGGTCATTTTTATCTGAGAAAGAGTCTGTAAAGAATGATTTTCTGGCACAGCAGAAACATTCCCAGCTGTGTTCTGGTCAGTTCTGCACTAGCACATCTTGGTAAGTCTGACCCTCAGCTCTAAGTAGACACAGTGATTCTCTCCATGCAGAATTCCAGTCTCATATAATGCTGCTTGTTAAGCAGTGGCACATTGTCCTCCAGAAATGGCTGGTTTCAGCAACATTGTACAGCTGGCTACAGCTTGTGTAAAAGGAATACACAGGCACCCCACTTTTATATATTATTGCATGAGGCAAGGCATAGTCCTTGTTCTAAAAGTACAAAGCAAGACGGAGTCCCTAGCCTACCTCAAACTGCAGAAGCCTAAGAGGATGCTTTCCTGAACACTGAAGATTAAGATAACTTTCCTTCCCACACAGACAAAACAGCTCTCAATGTGCATATGCTGCTGACAACAATGCATATATCTCCCTCCTGCCTGTTCAATACAGTATCCCTTTTTTCACACAGCTGCACAACACAAATATTTTAACATCAGGATGGCAGACAAAAAACCACAATAGGTAAAGAGACCCTGGGTGGGAAAACAAAGCAGAGGGAAGAGCTACAGCAAAGGACAAGAAGATCAGTCTTTGAAGGTCCTCTGGGTGACCCATATGAAAATTGTCATGGTTTGACACTGGCTAGTATGTGTCACAATTCTGTGGATCATGAACTCAAAAGCACAGCACACAGGATTGTGTGTGGGCCATGAACTCGCTCCCATCATCACTAGAAAAACATCTGCTTAATGTTTATAGTTCGCTTTCAAATTTCAAGCATAAGAGTCATTCTATAAGCACACATTAAACCTTGAATATCTGCTTAAAGTGCTGTGGGGTCAAAACACAGACACTTTAAATAGTGCCCTTTCAGGCAGTGATGTGAAGGAAATGATCACCTAGAATCTCACAGGCCACCTGAGCAAGATAAGTATCAGTCCATAACCACCAAAATACCTGCTTTGAGCTTGGCTATGTATTAGAAAAAAATACAGTGAATTCCCTTCTCCAGAGCAGTCTGCACTCCTCTTTTTTACACAATTTGGGCTTCTGCTCACTCTCTTTTCAGTGAATCTGCTCAGATAAATCAAGTAGTTCATAATGTGACCTGGGAGACTCGAATCAGATTAGATATGTAGGATTAGATAGCAAATAATACTCCTGACTTAAATGACTTGACTTCAGCAGCAGTTTTAAACCCCTCTGTCTCAAGGATAATTTGCAGTATTTCTGCACTTACTTCCCACAGGTTCTCCACTCCAGCTGACCCTCTCGAGGTCATCATCATCATCATCAACAATGTCGCGAAGGCTGTTCACTGCCCGTTTGGATTCCTTCAGCTATACACAAAAGAGTGACTTTGCATAAGGACCATCAGAATTGCAGAATGTACTCCGTTTCCTATTCTCATCAGACATCTTCCAAAGAACTTTGAATACAGCTTCTTCAGCTTCCATTGCTGCTTCTTGGGATGCTATTTTAGTCCTGTAGCTGTGCAGCAGACAAGGAGCCCTTCCTCACTGCTGGGAACCCCAAGGACACCTACGTGGACATTAACATCTCAACCAGAGGGAAATGCAGTTTGGTGCGCGGGCGAGGAACCACGTCCTAAAGAAATTTCGGACTGGCTACTGTGGAGGGAGAGACGGGAGACTTTGGTACCCTCTGAGTGGCCGGAGGTGACAATGCACCTACAGAACACCAACCCTCCGCGATGTGCAGGCCCGGGACCTGGGCTGGGACGGCTACGGGGGCCCAGCCGGCGAGGGTGTCCTACCGGCAGCTCCAGGGTCGGAGCTCCCTACCTGCGAGAGCTCGTCATCCTCGTCGTCGAAGGTGAAGGCTCGGAACTTGGAGCTGTGCCAGTACTCCTCCTCGTCCGCCCGCACCCTGCTCATCTGCAACGGCACGGCGCGGCTGCCTGAGCACAGGGAGGGAGCGGCTGCCTCGGGGGTATCACCGCCCCCGGCCCCGGCCCCGGTCGCGGCCCCGCCGCCCCTGGCCCCTGTCTCACCTCGCCGCCCCTCCCGCGCCAGCAGCGCCTCACAGCAGGGCAGGACAGGGCAGGGCAGGACAGGGCGGGGTAGGGTAGTCGCGCGCGGAGCACGCCGGGACATGTAGTTCTCCCGCTAGGCGCAGCGCGGCTGCTCCTCGTTCACGCACTACGAGTCCCGGCGTGCCTCGCGGGTCGCATTGACTTGCCTTCGGACTACCAGTCCCAGCGGGCTGCGAGTGCGGCGGAGCGGTGTCTGGGCCGGCAGTCGGGATCGGGGCTCTGGAAACTGCGGGCTGGCTCCGGGAGCTGTGGGCCGGCGGGGACGGGAGCGGGAGCGCCAGCCCCAGCCCTAAGCTGCCTGCAGCGCGGCGGAACCGCTAGCCAGGCGGAACCAATAAGCCGGGGCCGCGCGGCGGGGGCGTGCCGGAAGGGCCCGCGCCGGGCGGAAGGCGGGAGGCGGCGCGGCGGTTCTAGCAGTTTCCACGGGCGCTCGGAGCGGAGGCGGCGATCCCGGTCCCGATGGCCAAGTGGGGGGAGGGAGACCCGCGCTGGATCGTGGAGCAGCGGGCGGACGCCACCAACGTCAACAACTGGCACTGGTGAGGGGGTGGCTGCTCCCCGAGCCGCCGGGGCCCGGGGCGGAGGGGGCTGCACGGCCGGAGTCGCGGGCAGAGCCGCCTCCCGTCCCCTCTCCGCGCTCTGCTGCTGAGGCGCCGTGCCCGGGCTGCTCCTCCGGGGCGGTCCCCGGCCCCGTGCGTGTGTCCCGGGGTGCCCGATCCGAGCTGTGCCGGGGGAATGCCTGGAGGTGGCCCGGGGAAGAAATCTGTGTGTGTTTGTGTTGAGGTGGGGCAGGGATACAAGATTGGAGAGCACTGGATAGTCCCAGTATGCACTGTCAGCGTGGCCTGTCCCAGATTGTCACCCTGCTCGGTTTTCCTGCAGGACAGAGAGGGATGCCTCCAACTGGTCCACGGAGCGGCTGAAAGCTCTCCTTCTGCCTGTCAGGGTGGAGGGTGAGGAAGGGACGTGTGAGGTGACAGAAGTGAGCAAACTGGACGGAGAGGCCTCTATTAACAACCGCAAAGGGAAGCTTATCTTCTTCTATGAGTGGGCTATCAAGCTGGCATGGACCGGTGAGTGATATGTATCCCTCCTGTTTCGAAGTTAGATTAATGTGTGATATCAAGGGTAAGGATACTTATCTCATTTGGGAAATAATAACAAAGGGAATATCATATTTTGATACCATACAAGTTTGCTTTGACAACAACAGAGTAAGAAGGATTGATCTGAACAATATAATTGCAGGCACCTCAAAGACAGGAGTGAAGTACAAAGGTTATGTGGAGATTCCTAATCTCTCAGATGAAAATGACATTGATGAAGTTGAGGTAAGCAAAGCTGGATGTATGGAATATTCTAACAGGTGTACTCACAGCATTAATATCTCCTTCCCTGTTTCCATTTTTAGGACATTTGTGTAGAATTTTTACCTGTTAGAGATTGCTTAAGTTAATAGAATCAGAGAATGCTTTGGGTTGAATGAGATCTTTAAAGGTCATCTATTACCAACCTCTCAGCCGTGAGCAGGAACGTCTGTCACTAGACCAGGTTACTCAGAGCTCCATCCAACCTGGCCTTGAATACCTCCAGGGATGGAGCATCCACAGACTCTCTGGGCAACATGTTCCAGTGCCTCAACCACCATTAGAGTGAAGAATTTCTTTCTAATTTTTAACCTAAATCTACCCTCTTTCAATTTAAAACCGTTACCTTTCATTCTGTCACTGCACTCCCCAATAGAGAGTTGCTCCCCCATCATGTTGTATCTTTATCAGATTAATTCCTGGCTTCTAGATGCAAAAGGCTCTGTAGCACAGGAAGGTGTTTAGGCACACATGTACAGGCTGAGAGAGGTGAAGTGAAAGATGAATAAAACTGCTGGGCTGTTTATGAAAGTTTAGCCAAAGTATGTGATATTGAATTAAATAAAAGAACTGTGAACATTTGTCCTTGTTAATATGTGCTTTTTATTGTTCAGATCCTTGTCAGCCTTGCTAAAGATGAGCCTGACACTAACTTGAAGACCCTGATGAAGCAAGAGGGTGCAAAGAAAATTAGAGATGCAATGAAAACTTACATCAGCACTCTCAAAACGGGTATGTAACTGAGCAGGAGAAGTGTTACAGGAACCCATATGGACTAATTCTAAAGAAGGGATGGGGTAAAGAGAGGAGTTGCTCGCTCCATCTCAACAGAAAGGTGTCAGAGCAATAACAGTAACTTTGGGAAGAAGCATTTCTGGCTCTAGACAGTATAGCACAGCTCAGAAAGATTGGTTTTGGTGGTAATGCAATAATAAACAGAATTTTAAAATTTATGTTTTAAAACTGAGAATGCCCTTCATATCCTGAAGCTATAGAGAAAATGAAAGCCAGTAAAAAGGGTTGGTTACTCCAGTGACATAGTCACTGCCTATGGCACAATCTGGCCTTCAGTTGGCTTACTCCCTTGGAAAGTGATACCTTCTCCAGATTGTCATTTGCTTTTGGGGTTTTTTTCCCCTCTTGCCACACTGGTAAAGACATCTAGTGTTACTTGGATTTTAGAATAATTGAAGTCTGGAAATTGCTCTGCAGGTTTTGTTGGTGTCTTTTAATGAGCTGTCTCAGCATCAGCAGCTGGATCAATTCTTTTGTTAAGTTAAATCTGAGTCCAGCAGTTGGAGTTAAATCAATGTGCTTTGGTTGAGTTTGACTTTCCTCTCAAATACAGGCTGGGAATGCTACAGTTACTTTTTATATCCATTTATATTACATTACATGTCCTAGGTATGCTGGGTACAAACCACCACTGATTGCTGTTTTTCCAGGATTAAATTTCTGTACTCTTGGTTTGTTTTTTTTCAGGCACTGTAGTGTTCAGGCTGGGAGATGCAGTCACCCAGTGAAAGATAAGAATGCTAATCAGAAAAATCTGTATGATCTTGTGGGCTGCAATAAATGAAAATAAGTGGGAACCAAGTATTGCAGGATACAGGTTTATGCACATATGATAAAATTTTGCTTTCTAATGGAATTTTGCTGCTCTGAACAGATGAAGAGGAAGAAAAAGGAGCAAAATGTTTGTGTAATTGGTAAAAGCAGAAGTGACTGAGCTGGAGAAAGAGCAAATGTAATTCTGAACGAGGGTGAAGGTTCTGATGGAGTTACAAAAGTATTAGTGCTGCTGGACAGAGTGCTGGTGAGGCGTGCCTGGCTTTCTTGTGTAGTCCTGGCATCTGGCATTGATAGAGAGTTAGAAGTTACTATTGTTTACCACGGCAATACAAGAAATGGAAAAGCTTGGTTTGGTGTGTCTAGGCCAGCAAGGAAAAAGTTTTTGATGCATGATTGCAATTTATATTAGAGAGTGAGAGAGGAAAAAAGCTACCCAAGTCTAAGACTAAGCAACATGAATGTGAGAGGAGCGTGTGGAAGTATGTCTAGGCTTCGAAGAGGAGGTAAGTTCCTAATTGCTAGTGTGGGCAGGTTCTGACAGGGCCTTCGGTGGAGAGTAGTGAGGGAAAGAATTAATTGCTTGTAAAAAGAGGTCTGTGACTTTTTCTGAACACTGTTTCAGGTCATGGATGCTAGCCAAGAGCAGGGGGGAAACCAGGAAGCCCTTTTTGATTGTGTATTTCAAAGTACAGTCAGAAGGTACTTGATCTTTTATCAGTTTCATGGGCACATTCCTGTCTTTCCAGAATTCACCCAGGGCATGATTTTGCCCACAGTGAATGGTGAACATACGGAAACGGCACCTCAGGTGGCTCCTAAAGCAGAAGACCGCAAGGTAAACAAAACTGCAAACATGCTTTGGGATCAGTGAAGAAAGGTGCGCTGTATTAGATTCTGGAACTTACAGGAACAACCTGTGTTGTGTATAGGATATACACATTCAGGAACTGGCAATCTGTGGAATAGGTGTGACTGTTATCATTGGCAGCACAGGATGTTTCTTCCAAGCAAAGTGATAAATCTGCTTTGTACATTTAAGTATGGTTGTATCTTATTGCATCTTTACTAAGAGCCTTTGTTTTTCCCCTTGGATATATGAACTATTTGTTGATTTTTTTGGTTTGGATTTTCTTTTGGTGAAAAAAAGTGTGTATGTGTTTGTTTTCCCTGTTGTTTTGTTAGACGGCTGCCAGGAGCAGTACTGCCATACCACAGTCCAAATCCATAGGAGTCAAGATCCCTACCTGTAAGATCAGTTTGAAGGACACCTTCTTGACATCCCCTGACGAGCTCTACCGGGTATTCGTTACTCAGGAGGTAATGCCTGGCTTCTTCTGAAAGTTGTTCTTTGCATATAGGAGGCTCTTTCTATTAAGGTTTTTAAGAAGTTCTGTAGGACATTCACAATCCATGAGAATGGAATCAGAAGACTGTTGTACAAAGTAGTTGCTGAAAGCTTGTGTGTGCATCTTTTCACACAGCTGACAAGAGAGGATTAATGCGAACCAAAAGCAAGTTCCAGACTGCTGTCAGCATCTCTCTGTAGGTGTATCCCTTACTGCATGTGGCCAGGTCACTTTAGATTTACAGTGTGTGCTTCTGGTTTGTTTTTTCCTTTTAAGGTTGGGTGGTATCAAAAGCACGCTTTGGGAATAGCATCCACTTTTCCACATGCTGTTATATAGTTTAGGAGGAGAGAGCAGCATTGTATCATTATTTAAACATCGTCTTAGTCTTTTGTTCTTCCTAATTTGATAAGAAAAATGAAAAAGCAAAGAATGTTTTTTTCTTAGAATTAGGTTTCATTAAGAAATCAACAAAGTAAATCACTGTGTAACTTAGAACACTGCATAGCACTATGAAAGCTGGAGGTTCTTTTCCTTGGGCTGGTGAAATGTTGCTGTAGTAGCTAAAAACTTGATTTTCTGGCCAGGGATTTTTGTGTTTTGCTGAAGACCTTACACTATTGACCTACCTCCTCTTCCAGACTTTTGTATCTGGGTGGGGAGGCATTAAGCAACAAGTTTGCAGGAAGATAATGTCAAGTAATACAGATTGCTCCTGAATTCTTTTCAGATGGTCCAAGCTTTCACCCATGCACAAGCCACCT